GATGGCACATACGACATCCATATTACGAAGTCCTCTTATTCTCCCATCTTACTTCTTACTAATATTATAAATGCGAATGTTTTGATGGATGGATGGATGTTTGTTTGTTTGAAGATATCTCCGGCACGGCTGCACGGACATAGCTGAAATTTGGTATAGATATAGAACATAGTGTGGAAGAACACATAGGCTTTATTATTAAGTTATTTTGTTAATTCCTTGTGGACGTAGTCGCGGGCGGCAGCTAGTCTAAAATATAAACATTATTTAGTGAACGATAAATCTCTTCGATTGATATCTCTTGTATATTAAGAATATTGTCAAAATTAATGGATAAAAAATGAACACTTACTCACACTCACAATTAAAATGTTATTAATTATTATAAGTAACACAGTATAAAATTTTAATTATAATAAAACATACTATAGAAATATATTTAATATTTTACAGGTTATCTATTTTATGTGTATGACGTCAGAAGACATATCTAAAAATAGCTAATCGGTTTTAATAATTTCATTCATTCTATCGGACTTTGGCAACGACAAACAAAACAAATTGCACGATTATTTCTTATTAATACTATAAATGCGAATGCTTAGATGGATGCATAGACGTATGTTAGAAGGTATCTTCAGAACCGCCGAACACGATAAAACTCTTCGGTTCTCATATCAACTCTTTCGTAGCGCATAATGATTTTTTTAATAAGTGATGAGCCCAAAATATTGTGTCGCCTGCTATTGGTTCGCCATACCTAAATCTCTATAATGACTAGCAGTCACCCGCGTCTCCGTCCGCACAAAATTAAAAGAAAATGTAATTAGTAGGCTACACGTTATTCCAGACTATGTTCTATATGTATGCCAAATATCATCGAGATCCGTGCAGCCGTTCAGGAGATACCTTCAAACAAACATCCATCCGTCTATCTAAACATTCGCATTTATAATATTAGTAAGAGTGAGATTAAAGATGTTAAGGACGAGGTAAATATTGAACTCTATCATCATCTATTTTTTTATTAATCTTTGGAAAGTAGGCCATAATAAAGTCTTTAATCTTACAACTAGGCAAGTTGCAATAAATTCATTCATAATTTGCTTTGCATATTTCATTTTCATTCAGCTCGTGCGGTTAATGTAAAACCTTATTGATATTCATCGTAAGTTCCGCTTACATTTATATAGGGGTCATAGACCTTATGTTATCGATTGTTTCCTAATTTGTTTTCATTGTACGGAAACTTCCCTTTATAAAACATCGCTTAAAAATATGCTGTATGAAATAACTAGATCGTATTTTGTTTCGTCATTATGCTATTGTTATTATGTATGAATAAAAAACTGTCTCATGAGACTCAATTCTAGTTCAAGAGCTAGAGGATTTTATTATATTGTACTTTTGGTTTTTGTTTCAATAAAGAAATTTATAATTAGTAAGGATATTAAACATCATCAGTTCACTATACGTTCCCACCGAGGGGCTCGGAGCCTACTCTAAGTTAAGGGTGACTAGGCCATTGTCAACCACGCTGGCCCAGTGCGGGTTGTACACGTATCACTTGAATTTCTTTTCAGATCACGATGTTTTCCTTCACCGTAAGAACGTCGGATAAATGTACATATGTAAATCGAAAGTCTATTTTTTTAAATAAAGCTCGCTATAGACGTTTAGTTTTAACTGGATAATCGAACTGTTGAAGTAAAATTTAACGTCTACAGCGATCTTTATATCTCACATTGACGTTGATTTATCTTTTCCTATAAGCTTCATAATATGTTCGCCACTGAAATATTTTGTATTCTTGTCTTCACAAACACATTCCTAATCTTGTGATTAACATTTTCTGATAATTACGTCCACTTTATCATCACATTAAACTTAAAATAATTCCGGACTAACTAGATCCTAACAAAGGATTATGTTCTTTGTCAACATTTTGTGAAGCGTTGTTAATTTGTTGGTAAAGAGTTTCATGGAACGTAAAATGTTTTTCTTGTTATCGATTTTAATAAATGTAAAGTTTCATAAGTTGAGTAAATTTAAGGCAGGTCTCTGTCTTTACTTCATCATTATCATCAGCTCACTTCGTCCCCAATGACGAGCGTCCTCCGAGCCTTTTTTTTAAAGGAAGGGATAACTTTATTCATACGCCGTGCCCTGGGGATACCTCCGGGATTTTCTCCGTTTATTGGGAGCATATATACTAAACAAACTCTGTTTCTCCTACGCATGATGACGGGGCTAAGGGTATGCTTTTGCACTCTCGCGGCCCCGCCTAAAGGGAGGGGGAGGCTAAGAGCCTACCATAACTGTCTTTACTGTCTTTACAGACTTTACTGTTTGTTTAGAAAAGTTACTTCAAAACCACGACTTGCATTAAAAATGAGTAAACCAGTGTAGACAAACATCCTTCTAAAATTTGTAAACTGCAGGCTATATTGATAATCGTGTATTAACAAAGCACAATATAGTAAGCATATATAGACAGGAAGTATGATTATTAAATGAATTTATAGCAATTGTAATAATACTGGAATACAGTTGCACATGCACACGCAAGATAAACCGGCGCCCCACAGACGCGCCACAACGCCGCCGACCGCCCCTAGCTGTAACAAGCTGTACTTTATCATAATTAACATCCTTGTCTTGCTATCATTTTATTTTTACATTTGAAGTTTGTTTTTCGAAATTATCGCAACTCTACATGTTTGAAATATATTGTCCATTTAAGTGTCGCACTTATATCTTACTTGTTACTAATATTATAAATGCGAATTTTTGGGTGGATGCATGTTTCATGGAAGATATCTCCGAAACGGCTGCATGGATCTCGATGAAATTTAGCATAGATGTAGAGCCTGGAAGAAAACAAAGCCTAGTAATTATTTTTTTTTACTCCGCACAAATGGAGTCGCGGGCGAATGCTAGTGTACTAATAAATATCTTCATAACCTCGCGTTGTATGATACTCGAAGGACCAATTAAGACCAACTTCTTCTACCTACATATTACTGCTATAAAAACTACGATAATTGTAAAAACTAAATCACAACTAGTACCTCAAATAGGTTTACTGCTTCCTTATTACCAATCCTTTCTCAAAACTTATTATTTCCTTACTCATGTAAAGAAAGACCAACGCAACATTTATTGTTATAATGTGAGAATGTTGTTACAAGTAAAATAAAAATAAAATAAACTTGTATGCACACTCCGCGATAACCATATGTTGTACTCAGAGTCAGTGGGCAGTAATAAGTAATTTCATTATAATGATTGATGTAAGCTAAGAGCTTTGCTCTCGTAAACGAACACACATGTCTGCAATAATGTTAGTTCCCGACGGTACTTATGCTATTTTATTATGCACAATGTAGCAATCTTACTAATATTATAAATGCGAATGCTTCGATGTATGAATGTTTGTTAGAAGGTATCTCCAGAACGGTTCAAAGGAACTCGATGAAATTTGGCATAGATGTTGGCTACAAATTAAATTCTTTAGTTGAGAGCGTCGGTGGCTCAAGGGTTTCAGCACTTGACTTGCAATCTGCAGGTCCTGGGTTCGAATCCCGCCATGTATCGATGTGTTTTTCGATTTACATATGTACATTTATCCGACGTTCTTACGGTAAAGGAAAACATCGTGATGCAACCTGCACATATCTGAGAAGAAATTCAAAGATATCCAACCTTGGTCAGTGAGGTTGACTATGGCCTAGTCACCCTTAACTTAGGGTAGGCTCCGAGCTCCTCAGTGGGGATGTATAGTGAGCTGATGATGATGAATTCCGCGTGGACGGATTCGCGGGCGTAAGCTAGTTGTAAATAAGTATGCAGCTTTGAAAATTAAAAAAACAAAATATTTCTATGTGTGCGTAGGTATTAAATGTTCTCAATTTGCCAATCGATCTTTACGGTTTACGATACCCTATGATTGAGACTAATTTAATCCTTTATTCTAGATCAATATCAAATAACCTATGATTAATAGACCGAAACTGAATATGATACTTAGATATTGTTACATCTAGATCTAGAGAAAAACTACGTTTAAAATTTAATTAATTTTGTTTTTTATGTGAAGTTGGAATTTTTAAATAATTAAGTAATTTCGCAAGGAATAAGTACTTCAAGTTGAAATAAAAAATATGGCATTTTTGGAGTTGTTTTTAGCAAGTAAATTGTGTAAAATCTCGACACAATGAAGTTATAAATAGTATTAACATATATTTTGCGTTAATTAACACAAATATGTATGTAAATAAATGTAAACCTATTTACTGCTACGTTATACATTGTTTATTTGATTATTTAACTACCAGTAGCTTATATGCAGCTGATTAATGTAAATGTTGCCCCATCGCTTATACGGCACGACGAAATTTTTATTATAAGGAAAGAATTGGTAAATACTTGAATACGATACAATGGCATTGTCTTGTCTACATCAACAATGTAAATAAAATACAAAATGATTCACACCTTGTCGCCGAAATATAATTATTTGTACTGTTTTTGTTTGCAAAAAATCATTGGTGCAATCGATTAATGTCTTGTATCGAAGTGCAAAAAAATTGTGCAATCCTTGCATTTTTACAAAAATGCATCGCAACGAGCTTTGTCGACGTGTCTTGAATTTCGAATGGGCATTTTGTAATAAGACCATTGAACCTCTTTCCCTATGCACTTATGGGACCTTAAATCATTTTACTTTTTAAATAGCTACTCGAAACTTCCAAAAAGGTTCGCGCAGGCGTCATGTCGAGTTTACGTTTCGTTATACATTGCTGGCTGTCTTGACATTTGTTAACTGCGTCTGCATCGAGAACCGCCAATGTATGTATCACGCAATGTATAGAATAAGTTTGTTTTATGCAGTGTGGGACGAGCCCGTAGCCGTAGCCGCGTCGATCTCGAATCGTCTGGAATATTCGCGAACATTCTCAGTCGCGCGTATAAATAAAGTTGCGAGCCGCGGCCGTCTCAGTATTGTTGTAACCTCGCTGCAGAACGCTGTATACTACGTTGATATTTTTAATACGTATCGAAGTGAAGTGCATCTGTGAGAGTCTGTTTTGATATAAACATTGAATGAAATATGGAATCTCCCGTTGTTGTGGATAAGCCACCGGAATATCATGGAAGAGCTGCTAAAAATAACCAGGTATTTTGTTGTATATTTTCTTAAAATATAAGATAACCTTTGCAAACCGAAAGCAATATGTTTGAAACAAATAATTGTTTACGTTTACTATCTAGTCTTTTAATTAGAAGTCTACAAATTTGGTCTCGAATTTGTAAATCAAAAGTGAAGAAAATAAAAATTGATTTGAATAATAATGACGAAACAATGGACGTTTTTGCAAATAAATATAAATGAAAAAGTTATAATTTTGTATAAATATTTGCTTTATTATAAAGAAAAACAAAGTCATATGTATTGTAGTGTATTGTAAGTTTTTTCTTCAAAATCATTATAATACATAGATTTTCAATTTGAAAATTTCAATTGTTTACCCAGATACAAAAGATTAAACTTTTGTACACCATTTATAATAAAATCTTGAAATCATTGTATATTTCTTACATAATATGTATATATATGCAAAACAAATCTCAATCAATTCTCGTGAGTCACTTATTAATCAAAAGTCCATTTATAGTCTTGCTCTTAACAAAGTCGCGTATTATCTGACGTGGTTTGCGTAGGAGACTGCTGACTTCGTATAAAATATATAAATAATCACTCCATGTTGCAGTTCTTTATATGTTTTATTAAAATCTTAACCAGAATTCAACTTTAACAAAGGAAAGTCGCAGTTAGTTAATAATGTTCTAACCCATTGTCATCTAGAAAACATAGTCTATTTCGTAACAAACTTGCTCCAATGCACTTTAATTCTGTAGATCCTTGTTATATTAAACCAGCAATGGTATACCCAAATCTCAAAATGAACAAAAAACTACACGTGATAGTCTTAAAATTGCAAAATAATAGTCTGTCACATGACATGTGTAAAATTCTTTATTGAATTTGAATGTGAAGGTTGACAGTTGCTTCCATTCTCATGTCTTTTTTACCGTGTCACGATAAACTTCTTTACCACCATGAAGACCACAACTTACCACAAATTGGTCGTCTGTGTAGCAATGTTTCAGATTTCTTAAAACATTTTTACATTCTGCTTAATGTTTCTATTCGTGGTTATCTCGGTATTGAGAGTGGAGATATGAGCGACGTCCGCATGCCTGTAGCGATTTATAGAGTCGTGATATGCGGCCAGAGTTCTGCGTCTGTGTTTTATCTGTGAAGTGGCCCGGTCTAAATGCGGTTTGATAGCCCCTTGCTTGCACAACTTGACCATCTACACGGAAATGCGGATGTTTTAGGATATATCCGAAGATGCTTTTATGTTATTGGCGAAGGTAACAGATGTCTGGATGAAGAGACACCGTTTTTTTCGTCCAACCTATGTCTATTACTGGTCCTTATGAGTCCAAAGAAATGTATGCAGTCATCAAGAAAATTAGTAGATAAGTCTAGGTTCTTTTGTTTTCAAAAATTTTTGTCCTCGTAACAAGCGGAAATACTTTTTGGAGTATTTATCTGCGGCAGTTTATTTCTTGGCCTTTTTTGTCTAATTTCCTTCCTTCTGGCCTCGAATATGTTAGTCACTTTATTCGTTAATCTAATTAATTGATATTTTATATCGTTTTTAGTTTTGTCAAGAAAGGTTGCATTCACCTTATTGATTTCTTAGTATTTCGCCAATGACATGTAGTGTGGGTGTAAGGAAGTGGTTTCAATGTAAATTATTTCGTAACAAATATCATTTAAATATACGGACATGGTTCAGTTTTACGAAATCTTTTAATTGTCAAATGATTAATATTGTTAGGGTTAAATAAAACCGTTTTTCTATTATATTATATGTAAAAAAGGCACAATTAGTACGTATTATTACGACTGTTTGAAATACGCGAAATATTTAATTAATTAATCGATCATAACAAATCATAATATGCACTATGCAACATAACTTTAACCTTATCGTAAAGTAGCAATTGCTTGATTATTCAAGTAAAAGGGCAATGGTACATAAAAGACAATATGAATGATAAGAACCTAACAGAAAACTTAACAAAGGATAGATTTAAAAATACACAAGCAGTTGCAAGCAAAGATCGTAGTAACAAAATCTGTACAAACTTTTGCATAATACGTAATATCAGTATATCAAGAAGTAAGATATGATGACATTCATAGATTGATAGTTGTATTGGTCGTGCCGTTCAAGTTCACGGCTTTGTGTTATACAAATAATAAACGCTCTCGACGAATCCTCTACACTGTAAATATGCAAGCGAGATGATGTCATCTCCGCGAAACTTAGACGCCGACGAACATGGATACAAAAGCGATCCCAACTCAACAACCTCCAGTCAATGCGTCACATACCACCTACGAGTAAACAGAGAGATGTATACAAAAACTCGTTATCATCTCTAAAAGAAACAACTCAATTTTATGAAAGAAATGACCACAGGATTAATACTTATTTTCAAAGGTCCGTTAATAAGAAGACTTAAGTATTATATTGATTTGATATAAAAACTAGGAAAGGAAAATCAAGCTGCAATAAAAAACGACATTAATTTAATTAAATATAAAAAGGTTGTTTGCTGCAATTTGTTGGACACTAATGTACCATATGTCAATCAATGATCACCGGAAGATCGCATTCCAAATAGGGATAGACTTCTAATGTTGTGAGTCAGTGTAACGTAATGTGGGTCATTGCATGGAATGCATTCAGTTTATCGTCGTCCTTTGGCCTTGTCGGGAAGGCGATAACGCAAATGTTCAACATAAACAGCTTTATTTTTCTACAGAGATGACTTCATGATCTTATCTTACCCCTATTGAACTTGTCTGGTTCTGTTTATTCGAAATTATGACTTTGTTTTGACTTCAATTGAATGAATTAAATTTCTTATCTTTTAAGTATCGATCTTTAATTCTTTTATTCAGGTTTCTTAATATTTGGCGACATGTTAGTAAATTATTTAGTACACTTTTAAATATTGGCTAAATATACATAGCGTTAAAATATTTACTTTTCTAATGGAATTAATTTTTGAAATAAATTTCAAGTAAATTATTTTCTTACCAATTGAGTTTGTTTTTGTTTAGGCATTAAAAGTAAATATGAGGTCATTGACCTCTTGAAGGTGTCTCTTCGCACAGATTAAGCAACAGTAAAATTATTTATCGTTCACATTTTTATTGAGGTTATGTTTGTGTTTGTTTGATGCGATATTGTTTTAAGAAAAATGATGAAGCATTAACCAAAGACGGTTTATACGAGTTTTGTGTTAGACGCAATTCTCAAATAAGATTCGCGTTGATTTTATCTACTAAATATCGGTCATTCGTTTGTTTTGTCGTAAAAAATCATTAGTTGCGCAAAAAGCTTAGTATACGAAAAGGCCTCACTTGTAAAACCGGTGCCAAAATATTATTTTAATTGTACACAATCATATATAGCTTATAAATCAGTGCTATGATGTCATTGCGGTGTGGGTCGATGTGAGGACATCAGCTGAGGAGGGCTTGCGTCATGACGGTGGAGACTATGGTCGTGCGGCGTGCGCGGCAAATAATGCCGTGAAAACACGTGTCGATAAACGTGACACAATGGACACGATCGATCGAAAGTTTTAGAAGAAATCAGTTAAAAAATTTACTATTAATAAAAATATATTTATTATTACTAAATAAAGGAACTGACTGATATGTGCCCGGAGACTTGAAATGTTGTAGAGTTTTCTTTTAATACACAGGCGAGCACAAAGAAGGAAATATTCTTAATTAATTCCCTAAATGACTACAGTAAGAGCAACGGTTAAAATAAAAAAAAAACGGAGTAAATTAAAAAAATCAATAAAATATCATTGAGTTCCTAATTTGTGTTTTAAAAAATCCGTCCTCCAAGTAAATGAAGCCACGAATGTTAGCTAATAATAAATGAGCCTTACTGCTGTGGTTACGGTTTTTATATCTAAATGAATTATTTTAAAGACGTCAGGGTGAGAGGATTAGTCCTCAATCTTGTTATGATTTGTCCTTACATCACGCGCACCCTGTTTGTAACTTCAAGGTGGTTACATTTACCGAAGAACTCTACGATATATTTGTCATATTAAAAACCTGTTTGTCTGTTTACAACAATTTAAGTTACAAAATATTTCTGAAAAATGCAAGCCAAATTTCTATCTTTATATGTTTAATGCTTGTAATTTTCTGCATCATTTACGTTTAATAAGTAGGCAAGAGAACACAATGTAGGGGCGCGGTTCTGATTCAGATCAAAGTAACGCTCAGCCCAGCCTGTATGCAAATAGCATAGCATGCAATCTAGCTACGTGTTGCCATCTGATATAGCACGTACCACAATTACATTACATTTGTCCAAAAAAACTTTCGAAATTTACAATATTTTATTATTTCTTTTACTTATTAGAAACTTTACGATCTTAAATATTTTGCATAAACTATCACTTTGACGCCAAATAAGTTGTATGTGTTAACAAGTGAAAGTCTGTAAGAATCTTGAGATCCGGCTTATTGATGCAAGATGCTGTTCAGGATGTACGCATCAATAAAGATGGTAGTTATACAATACTCCTTTTGTGTTCAAATTTGTTGCATAAGTTTTTCGCGAAAACCACCGTTTCCATAAAAAATATGCAGTCATGTCTTTCTTAGTGTGAAATAATTGTCTTCTATATCGGTAATGATAATAAAACAAGCGTATTATCTCTTGAGAAAACACGAAAGTTTTTCATAAAGGTCATTTCACGACCGTCCTTGCCGTATATGGTCAGATCTTCGCACTGCAAACACGACTCTAGCACGCGTCGTACACAATCGATTATAGATCTTAATCTCTAGGTTATAATGTCTATTTTAATGAAAAGTTTTTCGAATAGTATATATGCAGGCCTTCCTGTTAATTAAATCCTTAATTATCAAAAGTTTACAATGCCGAGGAAATGAGTGACGATAATTTTTATAGCAATTTCTGTTGAATGTAACTTTACGAAATGTTAAGCACTTAAAAGTAGTGAATTGGTAAATAATTGCATATACAATTACCGTATATCTGTTTATAATCGTTGCTACTGGTTGAATGATGAGAAATTGGTTTGTAAGAAACGTGTAATTTATTATCTTATTCGATTTTATACGAATAAATAATCTTATCAATGTCATTTTTCACAATACGTTTGTATGTAATCTTATTTTTGTTTAAAACAGATTAACGTTACGATGAATTACGTTTCATTCGCAATAACCAAAGAATTAATAACGTCACATTTATATTGTACATGAGTTTCTTTTATAGCCCAAGAATTACAGTTTAAGATTTCAAATGGTTCGATTTAGTCATTTCCATTTAGATTTAGTTGATATTAGTTTAACAATACTTATTACGTTTTGTTCCAGCAGCGCGGCTTTCCGTTTGATGAAGAGGAGGGTTCGGGCGCGTGGAGCGAGCTTGCGGCGCGCCACCCCGACATAGCGGCCCGCCTGCGCCAGCGCCCCGCCACCTGGGCCAGGAAGCGGCGCCCCTCCAGTCAGGACGCCACTGACGGTTAGTATCCTGTCTTAACACTACACGCCTCTACTGTTGTTCAAATTCATTTGCCCTTAAAGTTTTCTGTAGATTTTTACACTGAAATGTACTCATGTAATTTACTAAAGTTAGCAAGTTTATTCCTTTTTTTATCAAAAAGCATACTAAAGACACTCATGGTAGTGTTTATCATTTGTGTGTTGTGTAAAAAAACGATTAATTATTGCAGATTTCGACGACTTCAGCGGCTTCGACAGATTTCCGTTCGACGACATCCCGTCCGAGTTCAGAGAACATTTCCCCTCACATTGGAACCGCAGGTTCGGTTCACGCGAGGAAGCGCCGCCCCCATCGCCTCCGCAGCCCCAATCCCCGCAGCAGCAGAGCGCCGCAACCCAGACTGACTGCCCGCCGGGGCCCTCCGCACACGCCGCTCACACTGCACACACCGCACAAGACGACCAGCACACCCATCTCCCACAGTACGGACTTAGGAACACAGTAGACCTCGGACAGAAAAGCCCCGCAGATCCTAGTTTAGTTGATGAGGAAGATCGGACCCAGAGGTCCATGTCAGCACCTCCCGATAATCGCACGGCCGGTATAAATAACGCGAACAAAATGAGTGGACAAAACCACCAGGAGCAGAGCCACAATCCACACTCGGAACAGCAGTCCAACGTGCGGCATATACCTATTTTCGTCGAAGGCAGAGATGAGCCCGTTATCAATAAGGGCGTAGATCACGCGACGCACTTCGGCGACACAAAGCCGGCGTACGTGCCGCCGCCGCAGCCGCACATCGACAGGGACCAATACTTTGCCGACGACGGCCCAGTCAATTTTCACGCTCCGCCTAATTTCTCTAGGGCTTTTGGCACACCATTTAACAAAGGTTTCCGTCAGGGACCCCAGCCGTTCGTTCAACAAAAAGTATATCCTCAGGCGGCGTTCGCTCGTGGCGCCTCCCCGCAAAGATCTCAGTCTCCTAAACCACAGATGCCCCCGGAGGAGCATTACGTTAAGGTGCCGGTTCACCACGAGCAGACTGCACCCAGAGCTGAAACTCCGTCCAGACCGCAGCAGAAGCAACCTCCGCGGCAGTCCACGCCGCCCACGCAGCCGCCCACACAGCCGCCGCCGCAGCGGCACACTCCGACACCGCCGCCGCAACCCAAACCACAGCCTCCTCCTGCCAACGATCCCAAAACACAAATTCTCGCCATACAAACTGATGTATTAAATCTAATGTCTGATGTTGAAAATTTCACCGGTACGAAGAAAGACAAAAGGTACCTGTATTTAGATGAGATGCTCACTAGGAATCTCATAAAACTAGACAATATTGAAACTGAAGGCAAGGAGAACATAAGGCAGGCGAGGAAGGAGGCCATTAGGTGTATTCAAAAGTGTATAGCTGTATTAGAAGCTAAAGCTGAAAAAGGTAGCAACGCGGCTCAACAACAAGATGTAGAAATGGAGAACCCCGAGAGTCAGAATGATGCAAATGACGACAAAGCTGTTGAGAATGGTGAAGTCGAAATGAAAGACGTGAGCAAGGAGCAACCTAAAGCCGAAGCACAAATGGTGGAGGCTAATACTGAAAAACCAAAAGAAGACATTAAACAGGAGGAAGTTAAAGATCAACCTAAAGACGAGGAACCAAAAGATGAAAAAATACAAGAAAACGCCAAAATAGAAGCTTCAGAGAGCACGGAAGTTGCCCAGCCACAGATTGCGGATACGCGACCCGAGGAACAAGTCAAGGAAAAAACTCCTGAAATCAAATCCGACGAACAAAAGCAAAACGAAAATTTAGAAAAAGAAATGAAAAGCCCCAAGAAAGGCACGAAAAATATAAAGAAACGGGATAAGAGTAAGGATAAGAAGGATGCAACTAATGATAGTATTAAGGATAGTAAAACTGAAAATAAACAAGAAGATAAAAAAGATAGCACGGAACAAAAGGAGAATAAAGAAGAAAAGAAAGAGGAAGAGGAAAAGAAAGATGCGGATGTGAATGTGGAACAGAAGAAGGACATTAAGATAGAATCAATGCAAGTTGACGGCAAAGGAGACAAGACGGAGCCGCAGACGATGGATGTGGACAATGCAGCCGCTAGTCAATAAATATAGTTTGCTTTAGTGAATTGTTTGTTGTAGATACACAGCTAGGAGCGGGAGACGCACTCTGCCTACAATCGCCTTTTCCTTCTTCGTGTTAATTCTTTGTGTCTAATAACGAGGTGTTGACATGTATCACTGTTTATGTTTGTAAATTTTAAGTTTTTAACACCTTACTTTGTGTAAAGGATGCTGTCCTTAGGATTTAAAATGGTTTCCTCTCACCTAAATCCTAATATTTATTAATTTATTGTTGATCAGTACTTGATAACACAAATTTCTCAATAAACATATATCAAATAACTGACGTGTTTTAGTTATTGAAACAAGCTTTAGATAATTCAATCTATATATTATCACTTATATACTAATAATAATTTCGCTAAAATATAAATAAGCATTTACAATAGATCACATTGATGATATTATATAAAACAATTTTACAGAACTACGCACACTATATGACATTATAAACTTTTCAATTTACATTTTTAATAACTTCAGTACAAAAAGCTCTGCCACTATGATTTTAATTATAACTTATTATTAAATTATTTATACAAAAAACCAACCAATCAGTCTTAGATTAATCCTATAATTTGATCAAGAATAAGCAACGGGTCGACGCAGTGTAGGCAGGCCTTCCGCATGATGGACCGATGACCTGGTCAAGGTTGTGGGAGTGCACTGGATGTGGCACAGGACCGGGCATTGTGACAATCGATGGGGAGGCCTACATCCAGCAGTGGATAAATCTAGGCTGGTTATGATTATGAAGTAACCACTTTTTTTATAACCAAGCATCTACTGGGGAAGCGTTATTTCCAATCAGGTATGACTTAGATCCTTCTCGGAGACATATTTTTCTCAAATGCAGACAATTTCATATTCTGTTTCTGCATTGAACATGGTAAATATCTTTTTAATATATTCTATTCCCATTCCTTCATGACTTTGTCCCAATCTTCATCTGTGATGAAAGGTTTATCGATACATGCGATCATGTACTCGCCACAGAAGATGCACTCGCTGGCCACGATGTCATCTATCTCGTTGCGGATGACCTCCCGGAGTGGTAGACCGCTGGCTGTCACCGCGGACAGCTCAGCACTGGACAGCACCGACAGTCGCCGCTGCAGGTCGCTCAGCTTGTTGCGACGTGCTGGACCTGCACACATCATCAGCTCACTATACGTCCCCACTGAGAAGCTAAGTTAAGTTAGAGATGACTGGGTCATAACCAAGCTGGCAAGTGACACTTAACATATTAAAATTAATAAAGACTGATCGTGCTTCAATTGATGTATACTTCTAGATTAAGACTTCCTCATCAAATCGTGATAAATTATCTATAAAATGCCGCTTCTTGTTCCTCTATATTTAAAAAAAAAAGAAATTTAGAACAAAAGTTAGTATTCCAACAGTAGAGGGCGCTTCAAGCTAGTAGTTAGTATATGAGTGTGACTGACTGAGTGTGGGCTGTATCTCTGTGAGCAGGCAGTCTGCGTGGAAGCGATGCGCGCAGGGGAACAGGTAGAAGGGGCGCAGCAGCAGCGCCAGTGCGCACGCGCAGCACGAGTCCGACACCGACACCACCACGCTGCGGTTGCGGAACGACTGGATCTCCTCGCGCACCTGACACACAACATTAATATGTATCACTAGCTGTCGCCCGCGAATCCGTCCGCGCAGAATTAAAACAAACACAATAAGCCTAAACGTTCTTCCAGACTATGTTCTACATATATGCCAAATTTCATCAAGATCCGTTGTTCCGGTCAGGAGATACCTTCAAACAAACATCTATCCATCTAAACTTTCGCATTTATAAGGAAGAAGTATGATATGACATCGTTTCAATAAATGAAGCCCTGTTGTAGCCTATAAATTTGGAGGAGAGGGGATAAAATCCCTCCCCCCCTCTGTCATCTTTTGGAACACCCTTACTGTCGTGTGTGTGTCTTAGACTCTCTTATCTTCTAATAAGAAACAAATAAAAATGACTATCAAAGGAAAGTAATCATTGACTCAATTGTTCAGTTTTTACTCACGCATTCCGCGGACTTAGTAGCATCCTCCATTTCTGCCTTGAGATCTTCTATTTGTGTATTATACTCCTGAAAAACAAACAAAATAAAAAATGCAAAACGTCTGTTCAAATAGACTGGGAACGAATCTGCAATTCGTTTGCAATAATTTATTTCTACCAAGAAAAGTTTCCTTACTTGAAGTGACTGACAAATAGGTTCTCTGAAGTGGTCTATGGTGACCACATCGCTGAAGAATGGCAGGATGTCTTCAATTTTGATGAGAGGACATTCTTGTAATAAACTCATCGCTTCCTTTAAATCCTGATTTTTGGTTATAACATGTTCAGCTGAAAAGAAAATACACGTAAAACAAATTAAAAAAAAAATAGCTATAAATGTGAATTAATCATTTTGTTCTCTAAATGTTTAGAATATAGCCTACTCTTTCATTTATCTTGTATCTCACTCTTGTAACAAAATATGTATAAATGTGACGTTTTCTTTTATAAGAATATTCTATCAATGGAATAGATAGAAAACAAAGGTATAAAAATGATTTATATTGCTGATATAGTTCATTTCAAATATCTTGACGGACCAAGATCATCGGCGAGCTGCGCAATTCTTTCTTCTGTTATTTTAAAAAGTTAAGAACCGCTAAGATATGTGAATACTACTATACTATAATCATCTAATATAGTCACCGATAGTAAGCCAGAGTCTGCGCTGCATCTCCGTGTCCTCAGGCATGGCGGCGACTGTCTTGGCGAGCGGCACGTCCACGTCCAGCGCGCGCTCCACCGCCGCCTCCCACAGCCCCAGCAACGCGGACAGCTTCACGCACGCTTCCGGCACGTTCTTCTCACGACAAATCCTGACACACGTTTTTATATCAGACAAACACTTATAGGCATAACTTTGCCATTTTCATTTTTAGTATATATTTAGTATCAATGTTTTTTTATATATCATAAAGCGGCAAACAAGTCCAGCGACCGTTTCTGTAGTCATGCCCAATTGTGATGGGTGGAAACAGTATATTACCCCTTCCTATGCATCCCCTCCCTTAAATCAACTTCCCCCTTACCATTCTTTCCTTATAAGAAAAGGGTGTATAGGGAAAGTGACTCATCAGAGGAAACGCGGAATTACTTCCACTTGACGCCTGTCTTGCATGGTCGTGGTATTGCACCGGGTGAGCCGGTTAATTCGTGCAGAAATTTTGTTGCTGAACCGTAGTTAGAACCTTACCTCAAAGCGTAATGTACATCGAAGTTAACCATATCCAAGCTCTGTCCCTGTCTAGATAAATATCTCATCAACGCTGGCTTGTTCCTCTCGGCATACAATGTCAATAAATAGTTATGAATCGCCTTATCTTTGCCGTTAAAGTTCTGCACAATGTACTCTAAATATCTTATTATTTCCAGCACATGCTTATCATCGTTCTCACAACCAAGGAATGCTGGCAACAGTTTGGAAGGTATCAAACTGTGGCCTTGCGATATGAGTGCATCCACGGTATGTTTTGGTGCTGCCTCCATCAGCATAGGCGCGAACTGATAGTACAAATCCGGCCTCCGTAACCCTTGTAACATTTTCAAAGCCTCCAAATAAGATTTCTTATAAATATTTTGTTCTATCACGCTTTCGTAATCTTCATTTATTATAGACAATTTGATCAGATTATGTTTGTCTCCGTGGGAAGCCATTAGATCGTATATAACTGATTTCACATGATGCATACAACTCATCACTTTAGGTTGCAACAGAAACATTTCGAAATCGCTTTGTATCTGACAGTATTCATCGGAATCTTCTTTCCCCTTCCGCCGTAAGAGTCCAAGTTGAGACAGATATAACTCTGTCATCCAAATAACGATCATTGAAATTAAAGTCTTATCGTCTTCATCGAGAGCATCTAGTCGTTTGGCTAAATAAAATTTTAGAGCATTCGTTTGATTGACTTCTAAAAATTTAAGGCATACAGTTTCGAATCTACATTGCGTCTCAGCAAATATTTCTACGCTTTTCTCATATTCACCTCTAGAGAAGAGTAATTCTGCTTGTTTAACATTTATTATGTCTATAAAAGCTGGATTGTTGTGACAATACTGTTTGGCTAAATCGAATTCCTCTTTATCTGAATATATTCTCCATACATTTCTTTCCTCGCGAATCACTTTGTACCTAAATACAGCTTTATCTGTGACCGCCCAAATGGTCCTTCGAACCGGATCTTTGACGATATTTTTTAATTTTCCATGAGCTTCCGAATAAGTGTCTTGGTACACAAGTTCTTGGTTTAAAAGAGAAACTGCCTTAACTTTATCAGAAAACATTAGAATTGCGTGGAACTCGGTTAATACGAAAGCTAACGGTGTCTTATCGGCTGCATCAGTTTTATCAGAGACTAAATCTTTTGTATCTATTTTCTCTGCTGGATAATTTATCAGCTCGCCTTGAGTGAAAAGTGAATTTGAATTTTGTTGAGAAGTTGGATCTAACTGTAAATAATTATTAAAAATTTAAAACATTTCTACCGTCAACATTTTAAAATCTATAAAGTTTCCAGCATTATTCTAAAACTAACCTGTCCATAAAATATTCCAGGCTCTGTCAACCATGCAAATGTCTTCGGAGTATTATCTTTATCAAAGTAAAATTGTAATTTAGAGTATTTCAATGTAGATGGAATCTCTTGGAATCCTGTCTCCGCTGTGGTCAGATATGAATAAAAAATTGTCTGCAGTGAAGGCTTGTTATCAGTGAACACAGCAGTACCAATAAACTGGTATAATCTTGTTGGTGTTGTCAAGAATATGAAATATTTTGTCGTAAAGTTGATTCTATGGAATTGGATGCCAGTTATTGGGGTGTCAGTGCCTTTACCGATATCGAAAACCTAAACAGAAACATTAATTAGATATTAACAGAAAAAGGTTTATTACCTTATGGTTTGTCTAATAGTAAATAAAAAAAATCAGAGATATAAAAAAAAATTGCAAAACTTTACCAATCCATCAACAACTTCCTTGCCTCCGTAAAGGGGCAAGTAATTGGGCAGCTTGTATGGAAAGAAATATTCAATAACTTTAGACGCACAAAATTATTCAATTAAAACATGTTTTAATCCTTTAAAACACAATTTGTCATGTTTCAATATCAATTAATTTAGATTTTTATTAAGTTATCACTGATTTTGAAACTTTTATTATAAGATTCAAACTTTATAGCAGTTCATGTAACTACAAGTGCATATTTCCATAAATGGATGGCCACTGCAGGAGTATTATATAAAATTGCAAACTTATGTAAAGTTGGAATCAAACTATACATACTTGTCTCCAATACTGCTGGCTGCCAGAAAACATTTTATCATTATCAGCTTCTAATTCTGTTTCAAGTAAATGTCCTTGTGATGTTCCTAGTAGTATAGGTCCTGTAGTGGCAATAGATTTATTCTCATAATTCCAGCCAACTTCAGTTACTTCATAATTCCTAGACTTGCTGACAGATTTGGGCTTGCTCCGGGAACGATGCAGGTAAATAAGTTCTGGATTTCCTTCCTTGTTCCTTGCGGCAAAAGCCATAAGCAAGTGCTGTCCAAGAGGGTCCAGAAAAATGTTAGACAGCTTTGTGTTTGGTTGTACAAATTTTGCATAGTGAATTTCTGAAAACAGAATGTTATAAAAATATTAAAAACATGAGACAGAGTAAAATATTTAAGAGTACAGAATTGATGCTAATTGTAATGTTTCAAATTGAAAGAATTTATGCGTCTTGATTTCTACTTCACAAAGCGGATTTTTTATTACATAAACAAAGTAAGATAAATTTATAAAGACTTATTTTTTTTATTTAGAAGAAACTCTGACCTTCATGTTGATCTGGCATTTTCAAATCTAATCTAAAAAGTTTTCCATTGGCCATAGCAAGTACTAGATAGTCGCTAGCCACGGCTACATGTGTGATGAGATCAGATGGGTTGAAGTTCATCTTTTGCTTCGAGAACATGGGCGTGTTGTCTTCCATTTGCATTGTTATATATCCTGACGATGTCATAGGTTCAGATACAGGTTCGGACCTTTGTGAAATTTGTGAAGCTTGTTCCAGTTGATCGAAAATGGAAGTCATTTTATCACTTTTTAATCACAGAATATTAAATTAAGTATTCAATCCTTGTCGCACTTTTACTATTATCTAGTTAATGATTTAACTCAATTTTGGATAGTATGCATTAACACAAACACATTATTATGAGAAAATCATTTATATTTGTAATTCAACGTCGTAAAAGAAAAACATTGATTCGCTACATTTTATTCCCTTCGAAAAAATTAAGTGAGATTGATTTGATAAATACTTTGGTGACTTTGACAAACAGAATAACAAAGTGTGACAAAGACTTGACACATATAGGATAATAAACGAAATCAGAACTGTCAAACCCATGATGAAAATAGCTCAACTCGATACAATTAAAATTGTGAATAAATTACGCATTTGTTAATTGAAAAAACTTGCCTAAATCTAGAAAAAAATTGTAGAAAATGCTTTTTTCTTTCCAACCAAAAAACAAGAGCTAAAACATAGTGCTTATCAGATGACAAAGAGTATATATGACCAGATGATTACATTATATTTCTTTGGCAACACAATATTATGTTAAGTCATTGTCATCTGGACATGACATTATCAAAATAAAACTGACGTATTTGTATACACTGAAATATCAAATACATGCAAATTAATTCGGCAATCGGCGTCTATCTATTTAGGTGGAATTCTTTGTATTAGATAACACAAACTTTGATAAATAATAGTCAGAATTTGTAGAAGTACCATTGTGTTAGATATAGGGTTAATACATTATTTAAGGTTATTATAATACAAAAGAAAATATCACTATTTTAGTGAGAAAGTGTCGTTCTAGTTGAGTTTTAAATATTTATAATATTCTAACCATTAACTTAGCTTAACCTTGAATTTATCAGTATCGGTCATATATAATTTTGCAATACATCTCAAGTTGTGTGACATTCGCCCACATTCACTAATCCAGCGTTATCATGGTAGCCGGTGCGCTCTTTAAATCTGTGAAAAGTTCTTGTAAGTTTTTTTACCTTCCTTTATATCTTTAAAAATTAACAATTATCATATTTTAGTGTTTTTCAACATGCGTCAAACAGGTCGATAATGTTGCCCTTTTAGGGATTGGGTTCAGTTGCCCTTTTTTGTCAAACGTTAATTTTACACGTTATAGTTAATATTTATCACACTGTAAAGTTGTTGTTTGTTGCTGTTTGAAAAAAATTAATAATGAATTTATTTTTAGAACTACTGATTTCAAAGCTAATATATTTGTGTTTGCCTTTACATTTTTATTATGTATTAATTTTTTAGATTTGAAAATCTGTAAACAAATTTCAAGAATGTGAAATATAGACTTTTAAGACTATAGTTTTTTGTATTTTCTTAGATGAAATTTTCTTTGTGTCCAACATTTTCTGACCTACCTCCAATAATAAAAAAACTTTACTTTGAATTATTAACATTATTTACTATCTCTCCTACACTACTCTCCTTAGAAAGTTTTTGATTCAATATTGATGGATCTTTAATCACCTTGTTCACAGTGTCATTGGTACAATGTGCAAAGACATCTATATCCAGAGTGAGAACATTCACAAGTGTACTAAATGATCAGCAACATGAAATTCAAGAATTAGCAAAGCAATTTTCAGATGAACACCTCAAGCCAAATGCTAAGAAACTGGATTTGGAAGGGAGGTTCCCCTTTGACCAGGTAAACATTATTTAAATTTAAACCAAATCGCAGATCCTGATGAGTTGATTATCTTTAATCTCACTTCTTCCTAATAATATAAATGAGTATGTTTAGATGGATGTTTGTTAAAAGGTATCTCCGGATCAGCTGCATGAAGTCTCATTGAAATTTGGCATAGATATGCAGAATAGCCTGGAAGAACACAGGCATTTTATTATTGTTTTCAATTCTGTGAGGATGTAGTTGCGGGTACAGCTAGTTTTTAATATTGTTTATAATTATTTTATGTCCTAATTAATTAAAATGGTCCTATAAAAAGGTAATAACCAAATAAATGCTTTCAATTTTATCTCCTTTAGGAATGTAAACGCTGGACATATTTTGTTGAAATTTATTTTGACTTTGGCATTGCAATGCAATTGTAAAGAGCAGTATTAGTTTTATCTATAAATGGAATGATAGTGATACATACAATGATATCCAGTCTTCAATTCTCAACTTGCTGATAACCTTTACATAATATTACATGTATTCGGTTATTTATCATCAGATAAATATCTTAACAATAGCAATATACATAAAAGTATATAATTATCTTAATGTGGTAATAATGGGACTTACATAATTATTTAGTACTGTAAAAAGTATGACTCTCTAAAAATTTGTGAAGACTAATGTGTCCTTTGGTAAAGCAGTCATAAAATGATACCTCATAGACTCATTACTTAAGGATAATTACTGGAACAGTTGTAAATATTGATTTGCGAGAATTTTTAAACAACTTCAAAAATAAGGTTCTTAAATTGTCTGTTTTTTTAATCAACTTTAGACGGCTTAACCAAGATTGTTATTTGCTAAGTTAGTTTTTAGCAAGGGCTATGGTTTCCACAACTACAAATGTAACGAAAATTGCTTGTAAAATACGTATAGTTGTAAAAATGAGGTTAGCTTTAATGTTAAAAGCATCTAACATGATAATAATTGTGTCATGTGTTCTTTTAATTAATTTCGTCATTCATTTGAAATTCGTATTAGCTTATCAGTGAGCGTGGTATCTCGCGGCCGATTGATAAAAACAGCGGTAATGTTACGTCCTTTATATAACTGTTACAATTATACATATGTCATACATTTCGTTTAAGCTTATGTAATAACACAAGATTTACTAAAGTCGTACTGTAGGGACACATCATTTAGAATGGTATAAAAAGTAGCTTGTAATATGCCCGCGTGCATCAGCAGGGGAAGGTACCCTCAAAGTCCCGTTAAAATTGACCCAGCTATTCCGAAGATTACCCGAAACAGACGCGGCCTTGAGAATTTTTATTTAATAATTAGTTTCTCGTTATCAGCAATCCAAATACATTACGTGTACGAAATATGATTTATTTTGTTAATATTACATACAGACACTACAATTTTATTAATATGTATAGATATAGATTATTCCTTTCAATAACCTATCTAAAAGTAAAAAAAAATATTATTTACTTTTATCACGTAAAATACTGCACATTACTAATGGTACTTATTTTATGTATGGATAGAATTTGATAATTTTGTAGAAATTATCGCTAGAAGAAAAACCCTACCCTCTTATTTTCTTAGTTTAAACAGAGATAAGAATTACGTGATCGTAAAAGTGTCATGACAAATGAAATACACGATTACTAATATCTATTCAATCCAACTAATTTACAGATAAAACGTCTTACTGACATGGGTTTTATGGGCATGGCAGTGGAAGAGGCGTACGGAGGTCGGGGCCTCGACTATCTATCGGTGGCTGTAGCAGTTGAGGAGCTGTCGCGGGGCTGCGCCAGTACCGGCATGATCATGAGCCTCCACAACTTCCTCTATACCAATCTGGTTAATGAAAAAGGCACGCCGCAACAGAAAGAAATATTCTTATGTGATTTTACTAGAGGAGCCATTGGATGTTTTGCTCTGAGTGAACCGGGTAAATTTTAAATTTATAAATCAGATTGTTTAGAGTTTTTAAATGTTTTTATTTTTTTGGCAGATGTTTTCGTATTATCTTGCTATCTCTTATGTGACTCTCGCTTATCAAGACAATTTTGACAGCATTAAGTCGTGGTTTTATGCAACTTATTGATATGTTATTAAAGGTGGTTATTAAATTCAAATTCACATATTTGATGTTATCAAACAAGTTTAGTTTGGGAACGAATACACAAAATGTATATGGTTGTACGTAACAATGTTACGAACCGAAAACGTGTACACTTAACTAACTTAATTAAACCTCAAATTAAATCCCGGAGTCGCAATATAACGTTTATTTGTTATCCATTTTCTTTCCGTTGTTCACGACCTCAATGTAATTTACAGACGCTGGCAGTGACGTAGCCAGCATAAAGACTACAGCGACCTTTGATGGTGACCACGTAATCCTGAACGGAAAGAAAAGCTGGGTGTCTTCTGCTATCGAGGGGTCTGCGCTCATTGTGTTTGCTACTGTAGATCCTGCGCTACGACACAAAGGACTAGCTTGTAAGTCAAATTGCGATAAGTTCCTGTGATATTTTGCTCCAATAATTAGCAGGTAATATTTTTCTCTGGGTATGTTTACCCATATCTTATAAGACTTGACCGTTTTTAAGTGAATTTTTCCGAGTACTTTATATTGTAGAATATTTTTTTTAGGTTTCCTCGTTCCAATGGATGCAGAAGGCGTATTTAGAGGGAAGAAACAACCCCTAATGAGTGTCAGGTATGAATCAAAAGTCTTTGCTTTCGTGTAACTAACAGTCTTTCAATCTTTTAATTTTTTTCTTCTTTCGTACTCCTTGTTATAAATATTACTTGCCATTTGCTTGTCTATTAAAACATACTTGGGAAGAAAGTTAATTCTAAACAATTCATTCGAATTTAAATTAAAATCTAACTAACCCCAACCTTTCTTATTACCCTTTTTTATAGTGAGCAGTAACACATTTCGTTACGCATACCACCGCGCCCTAAGAGAGGAAAGGCGCGGTGGTTATGTCGGACTCTCTCCCTAGACGGAAGCCTACCGACTAAAACCCCACTGTTTCCCTCGTTTCACCGAGCACCGGGACGCGGGCACATTGCCGATTGCCCCGACCGTTCTGGCGCTAGCCCGCGGCTCGCGGAGGCGGCATTGCCAGCTGGCCACTGCCGCTTCGCGTCTGCTCTGGCGAAACCTCTCGATCTCGACCCTAGGGGGCAGAGATCCGCCAGTACGGGCTCGATCTTCACGCCAAGCGTGAAACGCCGCCAACACTTCTGCCTCCAGCACCCACGGCAGAGAACCAGCCAGGGCGCAGGCCGCCTCATAAGAGATAGTGCGGTACCCTCTCACCACCCTTATTGCCATTGTCCTCTGCGGGCGCTGCAGATTGGTGCGCCGTATAGAGCCATCGAGCTAACGACCCCCATAAACAGGCGACGGCACGCCGCTTTGGGGCCGCCGACGTTGGGCAGCAAGCTGCCAAGTGCCGCGGCTGTTCTGAGGAGTTTGGGACCCAGCTGACGAAAATGGCCCTCAAAAGTCCACCGACCATCTAGTAAGAGGCCCAGATACCTCATGTGAGGTTCGATTTTAATATCGACGCCGCCAACCGTGACGCGCAACCCTGTGGGAGGTCTCCTCCGAGGACCGTGGAAGAAGAGGGCCTCTGATTTCTGGAGGGCGACCTCCAGACCTAGGGCCCGAATCCTCCCCACGACCTGGGCTACTCCCGCCGTCGCCAGGATCGCGCCCTCCCGGTGTGTGGCGCCACTCGCCGTCACTAGCGTGTCGTCGGCGTAGCAGGTCACGTCGACACCACGTATGAGAGAGCCCCGCAGGACCCAGTCATAACTCACGATCCAAAGAAGGGGTCCGAGGACTGAGCCCTGCGGAACCCCACAAGTGACTTCGTGACTGCACCACCCGTTACGACCCCTGAACGACACCGTTCTCTCAGACAGGTAGTCGGCCACGATGCGGATCAGGTATTTCGGTACCCGATGATAGTGGAGGGCCTCGACGATGCAACTCCAGGGCAAGGTGTTAAATGCGTTCGCGATGTCCAAGGAAACCGCGAGAACGACCTTGCCCTGGGCGACTGCTTGCTCCGCTATCATTTTCACCCTCGCGATCGCGTGTACCGTGGACCTGCCTGGTCTGAAACCGAACTGTTTGTCGTCCAGGTCCGGGCCGAAAGTCACCACGTGATGGGCGAGGCGGTTGGCGATTATCCGCTCAAGCACCTTCGCCGCTTCGTCCAATAAAACAATGGGCCGGTATGCCGCAGTAGAGTCCGCTGGTCGACCCTCTTTTTAATCAAAACCAGGGCACCATTCTTCCACTTTCTTGGGAATCGCCGTTGGGCGAGACAGTCGCTAAAGAGATCGACGATTCTCTCCTCAAAGATGTCCGCCGCCAAAACCAAGACCACCACCCCGCATCGGAAGCATTGGTTGCTTCGGTCGACGTCCGCACTGCACTGCGCTCTTACGTGCCCCTTCTGGAGGCAACGGTAACAACGCAGTGGTCGACGCTCCATCAACTTCACGCTAGCAGCCACCCAATACAGGGTTAGACGGCCCGCTGCGACGACCTTCTTCGCCGTTGCGACCGGGCATTCGATCCAGGCGTGTCCCACCCCGAATCTGTCCTAAACTACACCGGTGCACCGGAGGCTTTCCTTCGTGCAGCTCCCCGCTTCGTCTACAGCGACTAGGATTTCCTCGACGGAGGCTGAGTCGTCCAGGCCCGTCACTTTAATCTCCACTGTCTTGACCGGTCTGGAGATGCAGACCAGACTTCCGTCGAAGACCTGGGTCAGCCTCTCCGCTAGCGCGTCAGCCTGCAGACCGTTTTCCGAGCCCATAACCTCGAATCTCCGCGCTCCAGTGGCGCACACCCGGAACCGCACGCCGGTCGTGATGCCAATATCCTGTAGCCTTATCTTGCTTTTGGCCTCCGCGATGAGAGCATCGTACGTGAGGCCTTTAGCAGAACCCTCCGGCGTTATGGTCACCACTACAGCGGCGGTTTTTGGTTCGCCGACCGTTGGCGTTCGTGGCGCTCTCTTTCTCTGGGTGTTGGAGTTGGCAGGGACCCGAGTTCGGTCCGCCTTTTTCCCTCCCCTAAGCCCTTTCCTGACGACCTCGTTCCACGGCAGTTCTTTTGGCTGCTGCTGCTGCTGCATCGCAGGCTCTGCCGCCAACAGTTAGGGCTGGGCCTGGGGCTCCGTCGTCTTAGCCTTAGCCTTGGACCGTTTATTCGAGGCTTTTCCTGCGGCCTTGCCCGTGGCTTTGCTGCGGCTTTGCTCGTTCCTGGACCTGGGCCTTCCGGAGCGCGCTGGGCCACCGGCTCGGGCCTGTTGTCCGCCGCAAGCGGGCGGCGGATGAACCTTTCCGGCAGTAGCCGGTCCTCTAGCGCCTCGAACCTAGCGTTCACCATATTGCCCACTTGGCAAAAGATGGTGCGTACAAGGTCCTCATTATCCATCCTCTGCGGTTCCGGCCTCGCATTAGGCGCAGTGAGTCGCTCTTTCATCTCCGTGACCTCTTTTCGGAGCTGCGCCACCTCAGCTTGCAGGTGAGCATTGGCCGCCTGTAGGCCCTTGGTCTCCTCAGAGACGCTCCTGCTATGCAGAACTTTCGCCGTTTTGGCGATTTCTTCGGCTGCATCCTTCAGGGCCTCGATGTAACCTCCTTTTAAGTTCTTCGAGGTGGAGGGCCACCTTATTAATAACCTCGACGTTGTCCCTGATAACTTGGCTCAGAGAGCCGGCCGCTTGGAAACTCTCGTCTTCCTCATCTGAGAGCATCCTCGATAGTAAGCGAGCTCGGGCTCTAGCCCGCGCCGCAAGAGCTTTTGCAGCCGCTTCTGCCTCAGCCCGACTTTGGTCCTCATCTAGTTGCTCGGCATCGATGATCAGGTGTTTGGCCTTCGCCAGACCTGCATATGTGCGGGTGCTGGGCGGTCGACCCCTCCACTTCCTGACCATGGGACTTCCCTGGCGACTGCTTCTCGACATGGAAGCCGAGTGATCACTCGGCATCAGCTCCTCGTCCAGGTCCATGCCCGTTTCCCTCCCTCGTCCATTGTGGGCTTCCAGCCCACTGCCAGTCACCGTATCCATATCGCGTGCATCATTGTCCGTGTTGATCGCCGAAGTCGTCGTGTACTCGTAGCATTTTTTGGCCCCCCCAGAATACGAGGGCCGGCCAGAGGTCGATCTGACAGGGTTTGCCAAAACGACCTCTGGGAGGGATTCTCCACTGGATGAACCAGTGATACCCTCCTGGGGTAATGATCTATTTAAACTTGCCATTCACACGATACCAGTGTTCTCGGACACCGGAAACCGCCTTTTTAATACAGGGTGAGGTCCCCTAGCCCTGACGCGCAACCTTAGAGGCTGCCAACCACCCACCTTGGTCCGCTGCATTTTAACGTGTTGCCTCACGCTCTACCCTAACCTCTGCTCAGCAGGAGACCGAAAACGACCAACCATGCCACGCCCTCGACGTTTTTTACCCGACAGGGAGGCCGAGTTGACCAACCCTACCGCGCCGCTGCCTTGAAGGCACGCCAACCCACGACCCAGGGTCAGCTGGTGTCATCCGTGGGCCCGTCCGGTATGAGAGGCCCTACCCGGCATGGCCCCACAGATGACACCCCGACACCAGCACTATGGCACCAACTGTGCGCTGTGCCCAGCACCGTCCAAAATGGACGTGCTTGGGCCTCGACCTAAGTTCTACGCTATCCGTAGGACTCGGTGAGGCCCCTTAGCATCCGCGGCCCTTCCCGGTGTGGGAAGCTCTGACCAATATGGCCCTGCGGACACAGTCCCCCCCCTGACCGGCTGTTAGCCTCCCTAAAGACGTTCGGGAGTTACCAGGGTGCACCACGAGGAGGTCACCGGCCGTCGCACCCCACCTTTCTTATTCCCCTAACGTTCAACTATTTTTTTTTTCGGAAAAGACATACAGTTGTTTTACAATATCTATTTGAATGGAAAATGTATTATTTTAGCTGTATGACATGACTAAAACATAAAAGTGAATTTAAGGAGAAAATAGTTTCTGTGAATGACGTTTGGGCTAAAAAAATGCCACTTATACTTTTCAACATTTCGCCTTCGACTAGGAAATATATCGAAATGAGTTAGTAAAGAGAGCTTATAAGTCAGAGATAAAGCGAATTTGACAGGGCTGTGACAGCGTGCGACGTGACATTCGAGGAGGTGCGGATACCCAAGTCCTATATGGTTGGCCAAGTGGGCGAAGGATTCAAGATCGCGATGGGACAGTTGGATCAAGCTAGGATAGGCATCGCCGCCCACGCTGTAGGTAAGATAATTTATAATTTAAAAATTAGTACAAACTGGCTTAACATGTAAAGGTCGAAATGTTACTAATTTTTAGTAAATGTTTAAAAATTATATTTTCAGGTATAGCCCAAGCGGCTTTGGACACTGCTATTGGTTATGCCAAGGAAAGGGAAGCTTTCGGTAAAAAGCTGACGAGGTTGTCTTCAGTCCAGGTAAGATAAGTTATCAAAACATTAACCATAATAAATCTTATAACTAGCTTTTGATATAGCACGGGATAATAGGAATGCAAGGAATTATTAATTTATAAACATAAAGGTAACATAGAACAACAACAATACAACTCACGCTTGTTGCCCAGAGGGACAGACAGAGATTCCAGATTTCTATGAAAATACTAAAGGGCTTTAAAATGACGATTTTTGTACTAATTTAGAATGTTTCTATATCCTAAATCGGTGTAAAAATTGCAGGATCGACTGACCGAGATGAGTATAATGACGGAGACCGCCCGGCTTCTGACATACCGCGCGGCGACGCAGGTCAGCACCAAGAACAGCTCGATGGCGAAGTACGTGGCGGGCAAGAATGCCACCGCTGTCGCAGACCACTGCGTTCAAATCCTCGGCGGACGCGGCCTTGCCACCACACACAATGCTGAGAGGCATTACAGGTGTGTTATCACGTGGCCTCATTATTCACTATTTATCATCAGCTTGCAACGGCTAGTCAGATCTTGTCAATGGAATGACCAATGAGAATCATTTCACTTGGGACTCTTTTACTCCTTTGGGAAATTTTTGGTCCTTCTAGGAGAAAAATGAGCCATTTAATCTATAATTCAATGATTTTTGTAATCCTTGTGGCTTTTAATCTGAATTCTGCAGTTGTTTCTATGATTTAATTAGCTTTTATTCAATATTTTAATTAAAAAACTTAAAAATGCTTTTTTTAAATTTCTACAGGGACGCAAGAGGTACACAGATATACGGCGGCGTGACGGACATACAGAAACGTCTTGTCGGCCATTATCTGCTGAAGGAACACGACGCCCTCTGATGGCGCCACGAAAACACTGCAGCTAGTCTAAGCTAAACTGTGTCTATTAATTCGAGGCCACTGCATCTACAATAAGTATATATCTTTAAGGTTAAATACAATGCAAATAGTTATAAAAAATTAATTTAAATAACTGAATAATACATCGAAACTAACGCACACAACTGACGCAACTCTTTCTCTTCTCTCTCTTTTCTAAAGAATGGGAAGAGGAAGTGGATTTGTTGGAAGAGCGGACGTTTAGGAAGGGCAAATATTCTCTGTGCGTCTCCTTCTCCGTCGATTAAAGTTGTGCAGTATATGTGCAATTCATGATATCTATGGGCGACGATCGTTAATACCTTTTAATATAAAAATGCAATGTAAGTGATTCAATAATCAGCTCAAAAGATTTAGAGACAGAATATTACAATTAGGGCTCAAAGATAAGTTTTTATTGATCGGCCCAATGCGAAAAAAAAATTCAAGAACTAAAAATAAGTATTGTACGAACAAAGTATTCGATGTAAGTGAGTCTTTGAGACTGAGTAGCATTTATTGTGTTTGTGAACATAATATTATGTACTTAATAAATTACCATTCCATACAAAATCACCTTATATAAATAGAATTTTATAAAATAAATCTTTTAAAGAATTTTTCGTTGAAATGTCTGTTTTTAATTTTAAATTATTTGTTATCTTTTATATTTGATATAATAACGTTGGTTTTATCACTGACAGCCAAAAACGGCGCAGTCTAAAATTTTTTTATTAAAAAATGTAAAAAAAATTACTATAAATTTTACAATTCTTTGTTTGTTTCATGAAAATTTTCTGAAACTGTCTGTAACTATGTTTGGACTCAATAGTATATAAGGAACTTGCAGTATATAATGTAAGAAATCGCGAATAACTAAACAATCAAAATGCACATATAATGATCAATTTATGGTTATGAATATATTGTTATTTTGTTATACTTTTATTAGAAGTCAAATATATTTTTTGTAATTAAATGGAGTTTTCTTAAATCGCACAATTGAACACAATTATTACGTTAAAAGTAGTCTAACGCAAAGCGCTTTGTAAACCTTAATAAATTAATATGAACATTTTGTTAAGTAATACATATAATACTTATATACAAATAGGTGCGTCGGTGGTTCAGGGGTCAAGCACTAGACTTTCAATCTGCAGGTCCTGGGTTCGAATCAGCCCATGTACCAATGTGTGTTTCGATTTCCGATTTACATATGTACATTTATCCGACGTCCTTACGGTGAAGGAAAACATCGTGATGAAAGCTGCACATATCAGAAGAAATTCAAAAGATATGTGTGAAGTCAACCAACCCGCACTTGGCCAGCGTGGTGGACTATGGCCTAATCACCCTTAACTTAGGGTAGGCTCCGAGCCCCTCGGTGGGGACGTATAGTGAGCTGATGATGATGTATATACAAATATACGTAAAACACAGTATTAAAATGTTCCACAAATAGTTTATTTTAGGTATTTCATTACTGTTTTTATTATTTAATCTTTAAAAATTGATAATGCGATAAGAAATTAATGTGTAAAATCAATAGAGTTTACTTACACATGTTGGTTGCGCAAAGTCTCTTTCATTTATGTACAGTCATCATCAAAAGTAAATACATTTAAAATATATAATAAAAAAATGAGTCTTCATTGTCGTCACAATGTACAAATACAAATAATTCATTGTGAACATTTTAACTGCTTCATATTATAAGGTGTCAAGTGTACTTTCGTTACTGACTGTACTTAGTTTCTACGTGCACTATCTATTTTTATTGTCACCCGCATCGATGAAAACCCATTTCAAGACGCACTGGCAGAAATAAAAATAGTAAATAATTTTTTTATTACTTTTCTAAAAAAAAGACGGAAAAGCTTTACAGAATGATAAATTAACGCTTACAAAAATTGATATTCATACTGATGGTCCAATTTAATCCTTAGTAATTTAATAAAAAAAGGTTTATGAATAATATGAAATGACGTTACATTAGATTTGGTCAATTGCCTAAACAAGCACTGCCAAATAATAATTTCATCGTTTTATATTCATTTTGTAGCGCCTACGACATGTTTTACTAATAAAGTATAAGGCGTAGGTACAAGATGTTCGAATAACCGCTTAGTCATAGATACCGAATCTCTGAGTATTCTTCAATCGGTATTATCTTATATAACGTTAATTTATTAGACATTTAACTCCATTAATTGTGGTTTTATTGTTATTTAAGTGACCTTGACTCTAATAAAATAGAGCAATAAAAGTGCGCGCTTGAGGTATAAAATATTTAGATTTTCTTTTGTTCGATCGATAATGAAACGTATCGAGTATGTAAATAGGTGTTTATCCCAAGTGTGATGATTAGTTCGAAGCGGTATGCAGATTTTCTTGTATGGAGACACGTTATTGGTAATTAGTTTTCTGGGAAATTACAAAATTTGGATTTAATTAGACTTACAATTTTATAGTGTAATCCGCTACTATCTTTACTCTGCGTCATTTTCAGTATACACACATCATCAATGCCGCGATAATATGTTGATAACGAATTTTATCATTTCACCTCGATTACACGACGAATGTAGATGTGTACGAGTCGCGCTCGCGTTTCAAAATGCGCGCCATAATAATTTTGACGTTTAACTTTTTAATTTTAAATGTCAACGGTCAAGAAGTCGATGCAGACGGCGTTACGGAGGAAGTGCAAAAATTAATAAAATTGTGTTCGTTTTGTACGTGCAGTGAAATACCAGAAATCGATGGTACTCATTTAGTGTTCAATATATTGTGTTCTGAATTGGATAGAATACAGAATGTTGCTGATTTGGATAAAATTCAGTGGCCGGAGAACCCTAATGGATTGAAAATTTCCGCTGCTTTTGAAGGTTTGGGACTCAATACTCTTGGCAGGTATGTTACATTAAAAATAAAATTAAGTAGTAAGTAAATTATTAAAAATATTTTATTTTGAAGATGAAGATAATTCATTACGTGGGTTTTACACTGTCATAAATACAGATTAAATGATAGACCTTGATGCCTTATCATCATTTACATAAAACCTTACACTTTTAAAGCCCTAATTAGAGAGAAAATATTGCTGTGGAAAATACAACGTTGAAACCTTCGACGTAACAATATAAGTAGTTAACTGTATAAGTTAATATCCAAAAATAGCATAACTAAGATAAAAATCTTTGCTTTTGAAGCAAATATTGACAATAAATATCTTTCCACAAAGTGAGACTCACTGCGGCTTCGTAAACCAAATTTTAATGTTAAATATTAGATGGTGACTAATCATATCAGGTTTAGGTAGATTTAGTATAATATTTATTATTATTTTATTGAACTACTTTTTCACGTTTTTAAGTAATTACGCAAAAGTAAGAAAAACAGTCCAAAAATATGAAGTAACCACAAAGTAATAAACAAAATTAAACTTTTTCGTGATATAATTTTCAATATCACATGTATTCGTTTTTAATTCCTCGTATAAATATGAATACTTTTTATTAAATATAATTAGGTAATACATATTGTAATTACATTAGTTTAGACAACGCATATGCAATTGCGTATGTCTATGGGCAACGTTCGCTTCGCTATTTCAGCGATTTCAGGTGGCCGCTCGCTCGTTTGCCATCTGTTGATATAAAAAAGTTAGATTTAAAAAAAAAAAAATCATTGTCATTTCCAATTTCCCGGGAATTACAGTAATATAATATGAATCAATTGTATCGTCATAGTACTGCGTGCACTTCGATACAAGATATGACACTTATCAAAGTATTCACGAGAACCTTTATCTCTGAGTATCAACCGACCCTTTGTTTACTTTGTCCAAAGCAAACGCCTGTGCCATTGAAACAATGTACCTAAATACGATCGATTTTAAAAAGTAATTAAAACCTTCATAAAATAACGATACAAATTTTCAAAGCTCACGTACATATTTTTATTTTGTGCAACATACTGTTATCTCTATTTTTCCAAAGATAATGAAAGAGATGGCAAAATGTTATAAAGTTTCGTCAATGAAAATACAATGTTACCAGCAGAAATTTAACATTTGTATGGTACAGTTTACATATCAAAAAAATTTCCTAATGTTCTTTTCATTATTTTATCTAACTTTTAAATTAAGATTGGCAATGTATTTACGTTTATTTCGTTACGTTCACATAAAAAATATAATAAGGAATCGTATTTATGCGATCCCAACAGCCGGTTTCCATTGCAGAAAAACGTATACAAAACATATCTCTGTTATTCTCATGAGACTGAAAGGTACGGCAATATGTTTTCGACAGGCAACTCATGGGATGATACTAACGCAATACGCCTATCTCATACACTTACGTCAAAAAAAAACCTTTATTAATAGACTTATCACACGCACCTTGTTACTAATTGTTGTGAAGGTCGTTGTCCGCGTTATCGTCCACAACAGCCTCCATCAATCATCGCGAAGAATTGTGCCGGAGATGTGTGTCTCGCAAATCTTTGTCGCAGGATCGATTGTACCTTAACATAAATAATTCGATACATCACTATGCTGGAATTTGCACTTAATTCTAGCACATTTTCTAATCGTTATACACGCTTTGAGATGGGCAGTAATGAATGTCAATAAGACGAGAGAGTAATTGTTTAAATAAATGATATGCCGAAAACTACGAAGTTAATAACGAAGTTATTAAATTCTTCTAAGGAGTATTCTTTTACTCCTTAGAAGTATCGACGAGTCGAGACTTACCTAGATTTATTAAGGGAGTCTTTAGTGTAGATTTAGTATAAGAAATTCTCAATATAGGTTTTCCCACTTCATCATTTATATAGCTTTTTATTTCGTATTTTTCATCGATCATTAACAATTTTTCTGAACTTTCAGATTACCTCCAAATGCACAAGTGGAAACTCTAAGGTTTAGTAATAACGCAATTAAGACGTATTGGCCGGACCCGTTTAGCGATGTATCCAATCTGAAGAGGCTATCGTTCTCACAAAACGAGCTGATGGAAATAACACCAGATCTATTCACGAATATAGAACATTTAGAGGAACTGGATTTATCTTACAACAAATTAACGGATTTTAATTCGTTAGATTTTAAATTTTTACGCAATTTAAAGAGATTGAATTTACAAAGTAATCTTATAAAGAAGATGCCCATCGAAGTTTTAAGCCCAATGATTTTGTTGGAGGATTTAGATTTAAGCAAGAATGGAATTTACGATCTTCTACTACAGAAAACTGAAAGCGAGCCGTTTAAAGTCGTTAAAAGGTTGAGTTTAAGCGGGAATAGAATAAGATCCGTGACCAAGGAGTCATTTCCTCTTAATAATAGTATGTAAGTGGTTTGGTTATGCCTATTTTATTTTGCTTTGTGTCGATGTAAAATAGCTCTTATTAAGATTGACTAAAGCATATATTCTTATACCAGTTTTGTGTTTCAAATATATTTATTCTGTTATTATTTTATAGTGAACTTCTAGACTTATCAAACAACGTGATAGAGATTATAGAAGAGAACGCATTTCTCACTTGCGTCAATCTGAGAGAATTGAACCTTGGACAGAACAACATAACGTTCACTTTCGCACTGCCGCCATCACTGCAGATTGCCATATTGAAAATAAACACATTATACCACTGGCCCACATTTCCTGACGGCATCACTTACATAGATCTTTCGTACAATAGATTATCGGATATGTATAACGAAAATCAAGTCGAGTTTGAAAATTTAGAGGTAAGAAAAATAGATTGAAATAATAAAATGTCTCAAGAAAGTTTTAATAAGTTAATAATAATTTACCTTAAGTTTCTGACACCAAAATCTTATAAAACATATCATATCTGTAATTATCGTTGACAAAAACAAAGATATTTTAAACGGACATTTTGGTCTCAGAAATTCGCGGTAAAACAGATAATTTAGTCAAATAGTAATTGATAATTTGATATATTTTTTGTACTGGCAACAAACTGGTAGAAATTCGCATAAAAGACGCTGCGGCGAAAGTACAGATAAATAAACCTACATAAACAAATAAGCGATAAATTTATTTGTACATTATAAATAAGTTTATCTGTTATTTATCTTATAAAGGTATTTATATTGTTAGATAAAGATATTTCTCATGAAATTTATTACCACAATAGATATTACTTTGAGTAGGAGCTTTGATTATAAAATTTATACCTATAAGTATGTAAGACCAAGTTTTAAAAGAAATTCCAACAGTTTGAAAGCAGAAGAAAAATACATATTAAACATTTTAACCTTTTATTTTATTAACCATATATATATGTGTTATAAATTACAGATTCTCAATATAGGTGGTAATCAAATAAAAGATATAAATATAGAAAAAAAATTACCAAAGTTATACAGTTTGGACATATCTTACAACTTAATAAAAGACATACCAAAATGTTTGAGCAGTCAAATATTACCGAAATTGGAAGAATTGCGTTTAGATGGCAACCCTATAGAGGATGTTTATTTTAAAAACATTCTATCGTTGAAGAATTTATATTTGAACGATATGCACAAGTTGGTGACTGTAAAGGATAAGGCTTTCAGTAATGTTATTGGTAGAGGCGATGAAACTATGAACGAGAGAAATTGTTTTTATTTGTACATGTCTAACTGTGGTTCTTTAAGTGAGATACAAGATGGCGCTTTTGATGCAACATCGTTGTGTATGGTAAGTACAATTTATTTAAAACAAGCTGTCGCCCACAACTCCGTCCGCGCGCGGCATTAAAAAAAAATTAATGAGTAGACTGTGTGTTCTTCCAGATTTTGTCCTACATCTGTGCCAAATTTCATCAAGATCCGTTGAATCGTTTCAGAAATACCTTCAAACAAACATCCATTTAAACATTCGCATTTATAATATTTGTAATTGTATTCATTTGAACACATCAAGCTAGTACTAGCAATCGCAGTACTAAGTAGTTATTAAAACTGTAGGGTTGACAGAAAAAGTACCAGATAAAATCCGCCGTAAAGTTCTTGTATTTTCAACTATTCTTTTTGATTGAGATACCTTACTGTTCCTTAAAATAAACCACTAATTAAAAATAAAATAGCACAATTACACTGTTTCAAACTATTCTAAATCTATAAAATTCTCGTGTCACAATGTTAGTTACCATACTTCTTCGAAACGTCTTGACCGATTTTTATGAAATTTTATATGCATATTCAGTAGGTCTGAGAATCGACTATCTATTAATTTCTTCAGTAATAAATAATGCTACTCAATCATAAATCACATTGTTCTAGATCGATATAAGCAAGAACAATTTGACGAGACTGTCGAAGGACCTGCTTGACTGGCGGGCACTGACCGAAGGAGCAGACTTGCAGTACAATCCATGGGAGTGCTCCTGTCCCCTGCAATGGATGCTGGACGATCTGCTGCCGACACTCTATAAGAGCAATTCAAGACTGCTGACTGAACTCAGGTAGAAAACTTTGTTAGTCTATGGTAGTAGTAAAAAGTCCTCCTCCTTGCTGTTTGGAGGTCATCATTAAAAGTTTGAAGGCATAGCTTTAAAAATTCCATTGCCGTCGTATTATTTTTACTAAAACATATTGTTGTTTCTTTATCTACAGTGGAAACCTACTGTTGAAATAGGTGTTATGTGCAACTATTACAGATGCGGGTCGCCGCGGGGCTACGAGGGTCTGCGGCTGGTGCACTGGTACAACTGGACGGAGCCCGCCATGTGCAGCGACATGATGATGCGCGCCGGACCGCACGGCACTTACATCGTAAGTTTCCCAAAAATATCTTTAACATCTCCCACACCATTACTGTTTCGTACGAAGTGAAATTGCATGTCGAGTGGACGTGTTATAGTACTTTTCAGATATCTTGGCGGCTCTGAACTAAGCGCGAGCTTTGCACAGAATACAACAATGTTATTTGTAGCGGGGCGTAAAGGAAAGCGGGAGGAGTGCACAGCGCAGCGTGAATGCCCTTGGGCTGCCAAGATATTTGAAAAGAAACACACAATCAAACGTTACCTAAACCAACAAAATCATCAAAAAAAGTTTTTCTTAGCCATCAATTTTTGTTTTATAGAATAGAACCACTGATATCTGTAATTTCTTATTTCAGTTACAACCATCAACGGACTCTGGTCCCAAGTTCAACTACATGATAATAATATTAGTTGCGTGCATCAGTGTAGCGTTGTTGATAGCGGTCGCGTTGTTCGTGTACCTGGTGCGCAACAGACGGCGACACAGAGTGCGTCAAGCTGCGCTCAAACGTAAACGACAGACCGCATCCGATATTAAGAACAGCAATGGATTGCAAAAGGAAAAGTTTGGAGCGTTTAATAAAGCTTAGGTTAAACTCAAGTTTGCATTATAAAGATTTTGTTAAGTTTAATCTTGTATAAATGAAGTTTCTATGGCTAACTTGTACAAAAACATATTGTCGTTCCTCTCACTCTGTTTAGTAAAACAGAGATAACGATGTATTTAGGTACAAGTGTTTTTGGCATTAAAAATACCATAATATAGTACTATTCAAATATCTTAGCAGCACGGAACATCGCACGAATTGCGCAGAACACAATGTTAGGTGTGACGAGGCGTAAAGGGATGCCGGAGAGGGTACTGCGCTACTTAATTTCAAACTAAGATATTTGAAAAGCACTAAATTGGATAAATAAAGTCGGATTGTGTTGCTTTAATTGTAATAAATGGAATTGTGGATTAAGAAAATCTGAATAATATGTCATCATCATCATTATCATCAGCTCACTATACGTCCCCACCGAGGGGCTCGGAGCCTACCCTAAGTTAAGGTGATTAGGCCATAGTCAACCACGCTGGCCAAGTGCGGGTTGACTTCACACATATCTTTGAATTTCTTCACAGATATGTGCAGGTTGCATCACGATGTTTTCCTTCACCGTAAGAACGTCGGATAAATGTACATATGTAAATCGGAAATCGAAAACCACATTGGTACATGGCGGGATTCGAACCCAGGAGACATGCAGATTGCAAGTCAAGTGCTTGACCACTGAGCCACCGACGCTTTTGAATAATATGTAAATAATAATAATTGCATTTATTTACGAGTGAATGGATAACAAAATTACAATCTTAATAAAGAATGTTGTGATTTTTCTTTAATTTAGCATAGTTATAGTTGATAAATTATTGTAATTTTAAATACGTATTAAAAAAAAACCTTAATAACATTCAAATTGTTTGTTATAAGTCTTACATAAGTTGATTCAGATTGAAATAACATCACAACTTTACAGTATTATTAAAAGTGGAGTCAAAAATTATTTAGAAGTTCTGTTGAATTGCATGAACTTAACGTCTAGATAACGAGTGAATGTAAAGCCTCAACTTGCCTCTACTAAAGTATTAGATTATTTTTACGTTATTTCATGTACATACATGTAAATAAGAGTTAATTAATATATTTCATATAAAGATCCATTATTTTATTAATTATTGTAGAGATTTTTTGTATAATTTAATAAAAACAGATTCATATATCATGTTTGTTTATTTTCTTAAAGGATTGATTATTTTGCGCAGAGTTAAAGGTCCGTTCCATTTGCCTTTTATTAATTTGTTCCAATACAAATATGGTAGATAGGTTTTAGTTAAAAAAGCGATAAGTTTGTGTTCATTGCTCTGAAAGAAAATTGTCGTAACAAGAAATCAAATTAAGTCCTAATAAAAACATAATACATTTTACTTTGAAACTTGTAGAATCAAAAATATTTCCGTGAAAACACTTTTACTAATATTACAATTACACTACACTGTATCTTAAAATTTTCGATGATAATCTTACTATCATTCTAATATTATAATTACGAATATTTGAATGTAAGGATGGTTAGATGTATGTTTATTAGAAGGTATCTGCAGTACGGCTCAATGGATCTTGATGAAGTTTGGCACAGATATAAACATAACCTCGAAGAACACAAAGGTTACTAATTTTTTAATGCCGACAGTCACAAGCGACAGGATGTATGGAATGTGACGTTTGTGTTTACAACATTTAAGACTTCATTTGGTACAGAATTTTTAAAATAAGACTTCACTAACCTGATCGAATGGGAACGTCTCGAAAGGTTTCTTGTCATAAACAGATTCTGCAAGTATTCCCCTGACATATGACGTCATCACGGGACAAGCGCCGTATCCTTCGTATTTAACAACAGGAGGCTTTCCCTCCATTGTTTTTGACAAATTACGTGCCACTACATAACTTTGACGTGCTAAAAAGATTAATCATTGGTTTCCGAGACTATAATTTCTGTATAAAACATATATTGCTATCTCTATTTTGGGAAAAGATAAAGAGAGGGATGACGATAACTTTTATACAGAAATGTTTTTTTTTTTAAATCCAACAATAAGACAAATTGATGGAAAAATATATCAAATAATTAGACAGTTGAGTGGCCCAAGACGTTTTATCTCGGTTTTTTCCTACTCAATTTATTTTTTCGCTTAAATAAATATATTTTTTTGGTTTGCACAAGTTGACTCAATACAGACTTACCAACAGCGGCAGCAGTTTTACTATTAGTTGTATTGATACAGTCTCCTACACCGTAAATATTAGGGTACAACTTGTGCTGCAGGGTGTACTTGTCGACATCCAGATAGCCCTCGTCAGAGGTCAGGTGTGCGCACGAACTAAGACAGGTGGGCGGGGACATGGGCGGAGTCACGTGCAAGAATGCATATGGGAATGTTATACACTGCAAATTATTTGGATTAAAAGTTTATTTTGTAAATAGAACTGTCATTAGCTATGTTAAAAGTACGAACATCCGATTATATTATATGTGTTCGATTTGGAATTCGAATCGGTTTCAACTCTTTTTGGGCGAGAATCATATCCTAGTACAAGCCTAGCGCTTTCTATAAATGAAAATGAAAAAAAATTACATAAAAATAAAAGTAACACAAACTCCTTATGTATATTATACATACATATATTATATATATATAACAATACCTGTCCATTATTTGTGATGAAAGTAGCGCCTGTCTTGCTGAGCTCCATTAATTCTAGACTACGATTGACAGCTATATTCTTGCGCACTGTTATTTTGTGTAGTGCCGCAGAGTACTTCTGTACCCCGAACAGCATGTCCCCACCCGTCACAAATGTTATATTCGTTCTCTCTTCTAGTTTTTGCTGAGAAATAAAAAGTTTATTTTATGTTTCAGTAATTTATCTTAAACAGCCAAATGTAGATAACAGCTCTCAGACACGCAGAGGAACAAAATTAATCGAATGACACTATTCAAAATCGATTACCAATTAACAAAACATATATTCGAAAAAATTAAGCCAAAACAATGCAACCCAGTGGCATAATGCCAGGGAGATGATGATATCCGCAAAGAAAACAAAATACTACTCGGTTCTTTTTATGAGTTGTTAGTTTAGGGCAATATTATATGAGAAGGTTTACGTGCGATAACTAATAAAGAATTCCCTTACCCGTCTCCAATGATCATCAGAGAGGAACATAATCTTGAGTGCAGCCCCTGAGCACTTGCCAACCTGTCTGGGGAAGGTGAACAGCACATGGCCGCCGCCGAAGCCGCGCACGCAGCGCCACGTCTTCTCGCAGTACTGCGAACTAAACGTCGAGTTGACACAACTTGTGGGGTCGTCCAGTGCCTTCACTAGACCTGGAATCTAAAACACAGTACAGTAAGACCCCATTTCCATGAAGCGACTAGACGCGCGATTTCGGTTGAGGACTCACGCAAATATCATAGCAGTTGCGGTAGCAGGCAAAATAACCAACATCTACAAAATATCGCTAAGGATTTAGTTAAATTTTAACCGACTTCAAAAAGGAGGAGGATCTCAATTCGTCTGTATGTTTTTTTTTTCTTTTTTTATCGTAATGACGTACCTATAAATAAGCTTTTAAAATCATAAAAGAATCGGCTACCTTATCGTAGTCATTTTTCAAGCCGACTGCTACCACCATAAATTCGTAATGAATCTTTTTGCCCCACCGCGTGTGTACCACGTTGTGGCTAGGATCGAATCCGTCTGCATGGTCTTTGATCCATATCACATCTTCTGGTATTAACGCCTGCAGAGGTCTGTGACTGTCTGAATATGGCTTTATACCGGCTCCGACAAGCGAAAACATTGGCTGGTAGAAATGAACCTGGGAAATTTAATTTTTTATACTGGTAACATTAATTTGTATAATAGTTACGTTCCAAAAATCGTTAATAATGCGCCGCGCCATATTGTGACGTCATAGCCTATGAAATCGAAAAACAACTATTTTTTATTAATATTTAATTCTAATGTTCATAAAATAATATTTACGAAAATAATTTGTTGAAAAATATCTTAACTTTTTTATAACGGCATGTTTTTGTTTGAAACGCATTAAAATCTTAGTTTACCTCAGACGGCTCTAAAACGATGATATCTTTGCCTCTCAATAGTCTTGCCAGTCTCCACGCTATGCTGCAGCCGCCGGCACCGCCTCCGACTATTACAACTTTACATCTACACAATTAACAAAATAAACAGAGAAGAGATGAAATGCGTTAGGATTTTTTTATTCTAACGCATTTCATTTCATTTATTTCTTAAGTTTAAAATTGATCGCATCAGAATTTAAAAAAAAATCTTTATGAATTAAATTAAATGACAACATACATATTTAAATTGATGCATTCTTAGTGGCTACTTCCACTAATTTTGGCCTCGCCATGTCATTTGCAGAGGCGGCACTGCTAGTGGAAATAACACAGATTCCATACAAAATCGAAGCGGAAATAAGATCTTACTTGTATTTTTGATGGCTCATTGCCATACTATAGTACTGCCTACATGATGACCATAATATATTTCTTTGTTTCCACAATAAAGTGGCCATTGAATAATTGTTTTTCTTTATTAAATCATATTTTCTCAGGGTTGTTGAATTTACATTTTGATTTTATATAAACATTTTGACTGGAATTTAACCAACTAGATTAATTTTTAATAATACCGTGTACACAGATAACCTATAGAGTCTTTCTAAAAGTTAAACGTCTAATCGTGAGTTGATTTTCGAAATGTAATTTGTATTGTAAATTACACCACTGATCGTACATTTCTGAAACCAAAAATCCTGTTTAAAATATAGTGTTATCTCTGTTTTGTCAAAGATAATGAGAGGGATGACGATATGTTTTATACAGAGACAGAAATCCAAGGTCAGAGAATTCACGGCGTCCTATTCCCGTCTCACTTTTTTGCCCCGATTAGTTATCTATAGGTTATGTATGTAAGACTGTATACCATTTAAATCCAGATTAAAAAAATGTCAAATTCAAAAACTCCAAATAATACAATTGGTAAAAGAATATATGAAATAAAATAACAGTTTGCAATATAAACATGAGTATATTTTATTAAGGAGTCCCGATTATGTCATTTACAAAAATCTATCAACATTAATTACATTTTTACAACCAAAATAATAACGCGCTTCTCGATAGATATATTTAAAGTATGTCAACATAAATATATTTATGTGTGCTTATAAATAACATTATATATTTCAATAATACATAACATACATTACAGTTTAATTACAATTACATACAACATTTGTACTAAAAATAATCATTATAAGTTACATGTTAATTTATGAAATAACACAGAACTAACACCTTTTTAAAAAATTTAATGAAATGTTTAGTTATAATAATGGCCAATAAAAATAGAACGACATATAAAATAAAAAATAAAAATGCCAATTTAATTGAAATTCTAAATTCAAATGTATACAAAAATTTTGACTCTGGCATAGTTTCTTTTTATTTATAAACGTACTTTTAACGTATTTAACATGATTCATAGAATATTAATAAAAAATTAAATAACAAGTCAAAAAAATATATTCGTTTATATGCCAGTAAAAATCATTGCGTAAACGCAATTTGTACAAGAATTTTTTGACTAGACTAGACAAAAAAAATCGATAAAATAATATAATAATTTAACATATTTTAAAAAAAAAATATTTTTTGATATACAGGTATTGTGCGTCCAAAAAAATCGATAGTTTAGTGAAAAGTTTGTGAAAAAATGTGCGCGAAACTGATAATATGAGTTACATTTTTCACTGTAATTGCTTACAACATATGTTATATAGACATATTTATTTGACTAAGCGAAAGGATTGATGATTCTCCTCACAAACTCTGGGCCGTTGTAATTACCTTTTAGCATAAAATGCCAATAAAGGAAGGGAAAAAGATCTCTTTTCATATAGTATGCCATTATACTCTCCCGTGCCTGTTAGAAAAAAGAATCTATTTAGATCTTAGTAATATTATGAATACGAAAGTTTGGATGGATGGATGTTTGTTACAAGCAGCAAAACCGCTCAAAAGATCTAAATAAAACTTTGACATAGTCGTAGAACACATGAGCTACTGATTAAGTTGTTTTTTAAATCCCGTGCGAATAAAGTCGCGTGCGACAGCTAGTTGACTTATAAATCTGATCGCGATTGACTGAATAACAGTCGCGCAACTTTTAGGTTAAGTTTTATATCGATAATTAAAGATTTGGGTTGGAATCCAGTATATCTTACTAATATTATAAATGCGAATGTTTAGATGGATGTATGTTTGTTTGAAGGTATCTCCGGAACAGCTCAACGGATTTTAATGAAATTTGACACATATAGAAAACGATCTGGAATAACACAGGCTACTAATCATTTTTTTTTTCTAATTCCGCGCGTACGGAGTCGCGGGCGACAGCTAGTTATATCTTTATCTTATACCACTTCTTACGTATAATATATTTATATTTACCTGATTAATGGGGAATGTTTCTCTAGGTACACCATCGTATAGGAACTCAGCGATGATGCAGGTATTGTAGGAGGTGACGAGGGGACAGGCTCCGTACCCGTTGTACTGCTCAGTGGGGTGATCCTTCTTCATTGTCTGCATCAGATTATGTTCTAACACGTAGCTTTGTTTTGCTGTAAATATAATATGACTATATAACACCTGAACTGACAATATTTATTATGTTATAAAAACTCATAGGCCGAGTTAAAGTCTCTCTTAAACGACAAACTGAAAAAAAGATGGTAATAGGATGCTTTAATGTGAAGCATTCTTTTATTTTCTATCTTTGCTGTACAGGAAAGTTATCACTGTTAGTTTATTTGTTTTGAATAGGTTCCGAAAGTAATGAACCGTCTGAAAAGTTCTTTCACTTTTAGAAGCTATCCTCACGTGACAGGCTACATTTATTACTAGTTTTTTTTAATTCCGCGCTGACAAATTCGCAGGCAATTGTTCTTCCTACTAATTTTACAAACATAAATGCGATTGGATGGATGTTTGTTAGAAGTTATCTCCAGAAAAGCTATACGGATGTCGCTGCAATGCATAGATGTAGAACATAGTCAAAAATAACATAAAGTTTACTAGTTAAGTTTTTTTTTAATACTGAGCGGACGGAGTCGTAGTCACCTGCTGTATAAAGTAAAAAACGCTTCAAGAAAGGGCGTTCTAGTTTAGACGGTGCTACCTCAAGATGAGGCAAGGGACGATACATTAAAAATATGACATACCAATAGCTGCAGCAGTCTTGCTGTTAGGAGTATTAGTGCAGTCTCCAATGCCGTACATATTGTTATACTTTTCATGTTGCAGCGTGAACTTGTCTACAGTGAGGAATCCCGCCGCGTCCACTATACCCGGACTGTTGCGGAGGAAGTCCGGCGTGCACATGGGGGGAGCTACGTGCAACATGCCGTATGGCATTGTCAACTCCTAGTTTAAAAGAATAAAGTTATAAAAATCTAGACAAAACACTTTATAAAACTGAACTTGGCCGAATATTTCCGACGTACTAAAATCAAATGCCAGTTCTTTCTCTCGTTTGGAACTAACACTGAAATTAAGTTAAAAGAATAAAAAAATATTAAAACAAAACTATTCCTGGCGGCAATTATAACCTTTTTTTTGTTTTTTTTTTAAATTAAGAGAAAAACTTAAGTAATTTAGTGAAATTAGAGTATCATTGTCATATATTTATATCAGAAAAAGTGTTTTAACACTTTTTTTTAAATTACAAGTTTCAACGTAATGTACAGTTTACCTGTACTTCTGCGTTTTTTACCTCGTACCTTACTAGTATCCTGAGTGCAGTAGAACACAGCTTCTCTCTTGGTGTGGTCGAGCTGCTTGAGAACGGTCTTGTAGTTGACCTGAATATTCTTCCTCTCTACAACTTTGAGCAAAACATCTGCATACTTCTTGACGCCGAATATCACAGGCAGGCATGTGTTGTACACTATGTTAGCTTTTGAACGAACATTCACCTAGAAAATATTACTGTTAAAATCAGAATCGTTTGGTTACTTACGCAGACTCTTAGTGTAGATTTTTCATACTAAATCCAGATTAAGGTTTCTCTTAAATTGCTGTAAATATCGCTCGCAGCTTAGTAACCCTGTGCCCAAAGGAATAAAAGCTAAATAGCATATGTGCTATAAGATATCGTTTTCAATTTTTTTTTATTTAGTTATGTTCAGAAGCCATGTCATAAAAAATATAACGGTTATTTAGCATAACGTGTTCCCAATCCAGATTAATTAAAATCGAATATTTTATCAATATCTTTATTATCGTGGTTAAATTTTTGAAAGTCTGAGAAAAATAGATTGGACATAGTTTATAAATAAACTAGCTATCACCCACGACTGCGTCCACGCAGGATTAAAACAAATAGAATAATAAATAGCCTATATGTTCTTCCAGATATAGATCTACATATATGATGGCTTTCAGTGAAATCCATTCAAACGACCGATACATTCAAACATTCGCACTGTTACGTAATACATCTTTGAGAACAATAGAATAGACATGTTTTATAAATAAAAGTGATACGTTTTCAAAGATGTTTAAATATAAACGAACTGAAAGTGTGACTTGTAGATACATTACGTGTTTGATATTATATTTTATTAAGCAAACAGAAGCCAACGTTTAACAAATAAGATTTGTTTTTAAAATATTCATGTGAGATGTGTAATAATATATCCATCACACGCCTTATATATTATGTTTTCAATTATAAGATACTAACTGTCGCCCCCGACTGCGTCCGCGCGAAATTAAGAAAAAATTAATAGGTAGCCTATGTGTTCTTCTAAACTATGTTCTATACCTGTGCTAAATTTCATCAAGATCAATCCATCTATACATCTAAACATTGGCATTTATAATATTAGGAAGAAAGAAGATAGTAAGTAGATATATAAAGGTACCTAGATGTATCTTATGTCTTATACATATACATTCTGTCTACAATCATTATATACTGCCGTCTATGTAGGTAGGTAAGTAGACGATAATTAACAGAGTTGCTAAGTTAGCTTCAATATATTGTGTAAACTTGTTATATTAATTAACTTTAACACGAAAGTAACGCTAGATTTATGTTACGCAACAATGGTTAAGCTTTAGAAAATTATATGAAAGATTTTTTTTAATTTTTCTAAGTCAAACAGTTAAACACTAGATTCGAACCTAATACCCTATATTTCTAAATCGTATATTTTTATATATACTGGCATGCATCAAAAATTTCAATACATTTAAGGGTTTACCTTAGTGAAATACGAATCAGCTAAGTAGGCAATCTTCTGCGGCGCGCCGGGACACTTGAGGGGTGAGTTGGGGTAAGTAAAGATAGCGTTACCACCCTTGAACCTCTGCATGTCGCGCCATGTCTTCTCACAGTACGCCGCGTCGAATATAGTCGACACACCGCTGTTCTCGTCCTTCAGAGCCTCGCTCAGACCGGGAACCTACAACACACAGGTCATACCTATGAAACTGGAAGTGATACACGACATTGGACATCAGTAGAAGGGTGACCCCCCCCCCCATAGAAAATTACATAAAAACTAGCTTAGAAATATACCTTGCTATAGTCATTGTTCAAGCCGACCGCAATAACGATGTACTCGTAGTTGATGACGTCACCATTCGCAGTGGTAACGCGGCAGTTCTCAGCGTCAATACACTGCGCGGAATCCTGTATCCATTTAGCGGCGGCTGGTAGCACGCTTTTTTCAGATCTACATGTAGACGACACTGGTTTCACACCAGCACCGACCAGTGTGAACAATGGTTGATAGTAGTGTTTCTGAAAGAAACGGAACAATTGAATTTTCTACCAAAACAATACAGTTGAGGAAATTTATTTCCTACCCTTTGGTTAAACATCATTTGTTGGTCAGTCAATAATGTTATAACAAATATAGATGTTAATTAATATCTCTTATTGGCTAATGAACAATTCCAAGTGGGAACCAAATTTAATTCTTCAACTGTACATAGTCTGGCATAAGTGTCTATTTCTATTCAACAATAAGCTTTTTTTAACTTACAAAATTCAACAAACAAGACTATTTTATTATTATTCAATCTATTGAATATTTAACAAAAAACATGATTATACAACGTTTATTAAAAAGATAAGTTGTGATATGCAGCTCACGAAATTGCATAACTTATTAAACCGTTAATAAAATCCTGATAAGAATAACAAAATGTATCTGAACAATTGAATAATCCAATCTTTGCTTAGCCAGTTGTTAGAAGCTGTAATATTTTAAATAAAAAACAATAAGTACTAAAAAACTGCCAGTACTAAGCTTGTATATAACATACACTATATGTAATCCCAATCTATTAACAAGTGACCTTCATACAAATGACTGGGCAATCAGTCAACAGTTTTATGCACCTCCGTCCATCCTTTTGTTTACTTTGCACTTATTATACTATACAATAGCTATATTGTTAAAGTTAAGTGTTCTGAATTCTTCTTAATAATTAGTTTTAGAAAAGAGAAATAGTGTAAGTATTGAGTTCAATAATTAATTACTAAAATGATCTAAAATATTCATAATTTAATTACGTTTGTTATTAACCAACTTGGTCTATATGGTTTAAGAATTATAGTTTAGTAAACAAAAAAATTAAGATATTTAGTAAAAATTATATACACACCGAACTAGGCTCCAAAACAATGACAGAATCTTTTTTGAGTCTTTTGGTGAATTTAGCAGCTATAGTACAGCCTCCTGACCCTCCTCCGACCACTAGCAGTTTGCATCTAGAATCAAGAATAAAGATACAATCTAAGTGAAATGTAGCTAGAAAATTTATGTCATATAAAATATTAAAACAAAAAAATATACTCACGAATAATTTTTATTAAGAGAAGCTGATAAAGACAAACTTCTAATGGATGTTGAGATTATTTTTGTGTTCTGTAGTCGCAATATAAGATTATTCATCGTTAAAATTTGTTTTTTCACACATATAAATCGTTCACATTAGAAGTGCACTTGTCCGGTATCGAAGGAGTTCGGATGCTGAATGATTGTGTTACTTTACTTGCGTAACGAAAAAGCTGTGTTACCTACGAAGAGCGATAATTCAATATGATAATAATAAATATATCGATGATAAACCACAGATGTTTTGTTGATATTTTTCTGTCACCTGTCATTAACCGTCAATTGTCAATGTCTCTTTGATTTTTTATTTTTATAATTTTATGACCTGGTAACATAGACCTTTAGATCATTTCTTATTTGGAAAATGTTCTTTTTAATACTTATTATTATTATTTACTTTTATTTTATTTTATTTACTTTACTTTGGAATGTCTCTTTGACAGTGAAAGTCAATCATAGAAAATATTGTTGTAGATAAATTAAAAACGGCACTTAAAACGATAAAAGATGGCGCTGCCACAACAGATTATAAAACCAAATTGATTATTTACTCTGAGTTGTCAAGCGAAAAGAAAATATAAACATGAAAAATGGCGGATGAAGACGAAATTGACATTCTTGGAGATTTTTCATTTAATTCTTGTTTGGCCCAAAACAATCAGGGAATGTAAGTTACTTTAATTTGCTTCATACATTATGTTTCCTAAAACTACTTATCTTAAAAGTGACAACTATAAAATATATACATTTTTATATTTGTGCCAAAGCTTTGTTATCGTTTTAAAAATTGTACGCATTAAGTAATGTTACATAAAACATGTCACTACTTCTTTCAATGCCTCCAATATACCGTTTCAAATTTTATGTTTCAATCTCACATATAATGAAATAATAATGAAAATATTTGTTGTAGCCCTTCCTGTTCAGATAGGGAAGACACGGTGCATCCTCAATGGTTGCTTGACTCAACTGCTACAAATTGGTATGATAACCAAAATAAAAACAATAGTAGGTAAGTTGTAACTTTATAACAGTGGTGTAAATTAATTACTCTTCACATACATAAAAATATCATATTTCTCAATCATATTTTTCTTTTTAGGACCAAAGATGGACCTTTGCGGAAGTTGTCAGGAAATAATTCAACAAAGATAAAACTTGTAGAAACAGAAACTTCATGGAGTCAAGAAGAGAGAGACATTCTTAATAAAGAAATGGTATTTATGCTATATTTAACACAAATTATTTTTTTTGTTTTTGAAACAAAAATACGTCATGTATTTTTTTATTTATCCAGGAAAAATATGGTCAAAACAGTCATAAAATAGCTGAATCTCTGAAATCAAAGTCTGTAGCGGAAATACAAGCATTGATTGAAGTTGAACATGGAGTTAACCTGAAGACACAAGCAATAGGAATATTTAAGCCCGAGGATTACAATATACCAGTTGTACAAGAAGAAGTCATTTTGGATGATATAATAACTATTCAAGACACTATACATATGGTATCAACAGCACTTCCAACAATACCAGTTGCAAAGAAAGGAACCAAAAAGAAATCTTATGTAAAATCATCAAAAAGCCTATTAAAACCTAATATCTTAGATTCTAAAGAACCAGTTCTAGTTGCAATAAATCCATCAGAAATATTCTATGATGATGATATAAATATTGGTTCAACTGAATATGTCGGTACAGATATTGATGCAGGTGATGCTGTTTTAAGAAATTTAGCAAAGCAACATAAAGAAAGGGTGAAGGGTGGAAAGAAAATAGGTAACCATAGAAGGAAAGTTTCCAGGAATTATGATAAATCTAAAAGTAAGGACTTATTGAAGTCACCACAAGGTAGACAAAGGATAGACTCTGGGGTGTCTGAGGATGCAAAGAGTCCTAAGATGCAGATTGTCTTGGGTTCAGGACAAGCTTTGCCTGTTTCGGAAGGCGAACAAGTTGTAAGTATTTATCTTACTTATATTATAAATGTGAAGTTTAGATGGATGGATGTATGTTTGTTTGAAGGTATCGCAAGAACGGCTAAGTAGATCTTGATGAGATTTAGTCTACATATAGGACATAGTCTGGAAGAACATATAGGCTACTATTTGATTTTTTTTAATTATGTGCACACGGAGCGACTGCTAGTTAGTATGTGTAACTAAAAACTGGATGCCTAAGATTGTCGAAAAACATGTAAGAGAGGGGATAGATTATAAGGTCTTTGAACATGATTTTTTTATTAGTTTCATGTTATTCCATTATCTTTCAGATTAAAATTGAGAAAAAGAAAGATTCGGAGCCCGAGAGTGATATAGAGATAGATATTGACAGTGACACAGACAATATGAAAGAAGTAAACAGGATTTATCATACAAATAATTCCGCAGAATTATGTGAAGATAGATTAAGATTAATTAAAGAGGATACGCCAGTAGCTGTCCCATTAAGAAAATTTGAACCGATGCCAAAAAGGAGGAAAAGAATTAATTTGGTGAGTAGGAAAAACTTGATACTATAACAAATATATTTTTTAACTAACATTATAATCTCTAGAGTGCATATTTAATAAGTAACAATTTTTTTTTACTAAATATAGGAATAAAATATTTATACAGGATGGTGGGGGAGGTTGTACAATAATGCATACGGCAGCGGGAGATCTATACGAGGTGGCGCCGGAGCCGCGCCGCGAGCGCCCGCCCCGCAAGCCGCCCATACATCTGATAAGATGTCGCGTTTACAATGATGACAAACCGGTCAGTATAAAGAATCATTTAAGGAATTCATTGTGATATAGAAATAATTAAAAGTATCAAAAAGTACTTAGTTTTTTGATGATGATCAATTTATCATCATCAGTATAATGGAAAATTGTTGAAACATTTGATCAACTTAGTATAACTTATGATGAACTGTATCAGGCGCCGTGCACAGTGTCGCTAAACGTGTCAGCACTGATCGCGATGGACGCGCACGCGCACACGTCGCGCGGTGAGGTGATGGGGCTGCTGGGAGGCGTGGCTTGTGCAGCCCCGCCCCCCGCTCCGCCTCGCCTTTTAGTAGCCGCCTACTGCCGCGCTGCTGCAGCCAACGCGCGCACTCACTGCGATATGGATCCCGGTAATTCAGATTCTTCACAACTCGTATAAAATAATTACCCAAAATCTATTTTATATTCTTTTAGTTGTCATCTAAATTGTTTATTGCTGTGTCATTAGTGTCCCAGTCTGTGGCAGCGGAGGCACTACGCGGGCGCGGGTTGGAGGTGTGCGGGTGGCATCACTCGCACCCCGCCTTCCCCTCAGCGCCATCCGCCCTCGACCTGCGCTCGCAGCGCGCCCTGCAGGCGGCCCTCGAGCGCGCCCCGCCCCACCCGCACGCCCCGCATACGCCCTTCCTCGCTCTCATCACCTCGCAGCACTGGCCGCCGGGGCGAGATGCATCGCAGTACACGTTAGTAACCAGATTACCCTAAACTTCACAAAAAGTTACATTGAAGAACTAGATAAGATTTTTTGCAATATTTGAATTCCTGACCGGAAGGGTCATTGCATTGTAATCTTTATCTACTGATTTACACCAGTAAAAACTTATTTTTCCAGATGTTTCCGCGTAGAAGAAGATGGTGATAGCAAAGAGGACGACACTCCGGCGGGTTATCAGTTAAGTGTGCGCGTGGAGGCGGATGTGTGCGTAGGCGACGTGCCGCGTGTTTTACGCGAGCTACACGCGCTGCGACATGCGCACACACGCGACGACGCCCTCGCTGTTGTTATGGCGCGGGACGTGTGCCCGCACGCCGGTATCACTTACTTAGATAAGGTATGAATAAAAATAAACAAGAATTTAAAAAATAGATTATTTAAAAATGAATGAAAGAAGCAACTGTCCGAAACAGTAAAAGTTTGTAATATTCGTTGTTGCAGTTAATTTCAAGTGTGTCGCGGCACCTGCGCTCTGCGGGCTACAGCGACGAAGACGCGGTGACGACGCGGCTGCTGCGCGGCATACGCGAGGTCTTTAGATGACCTGACGACTTTAAGTTGTATAATTGTGCCTAACTGTGATCATATTTATTACAATATACATTTAAGTTAGCTGTAAATCTGGTGCAAAATAACTCCTTTAGCAATAATTAAATTACGATATAACCATAGCCTTTATTTAATATATTTAAATCTAATTATAGCACAATAAGTGTGCCTTATGTTTTGTGTTTAACAGTATTAATAAGTTTCAAAATAAATAATTCATAACAAACACGGTTTTTAATTTAATTCGACCCAACGATTATCTTCTTGGCAATTAATATGCTTCTTTAGTTGGCAAATTAATAAATAAAAAATCGAATATGGCACAGTTCCAGTTTATTTTTTTTTTTCATCAAATGTTACATGTGCTAGATAAAAAAATAATACAGTCCGATTAGTGAAACTCTTTTACAATATGACTGCGAACGTATCGAAAGTTGTACGATTTGGCAAAAAGATGAAAAACAATATATAGTCGCTAATAATATACAAATGGAGAGATGTTTTGTTGTAACATTTTATATATATCGTACGACTTTCGATTTGTCAACGGTCCAATGGTCACGTAGCGCCATAAATCACTGAGTGTTTTCTAAATATAATTACAAATCGATTAATTTTGTCCAAATTACAACTAATCTTGTAAAACATTTCAACAAGCTTTAATTTCGACATAATTTGAAACTTTCGGAACATTTAACGAGATTGTACTCGAGACGCTACTGAGTACCGAAAGTGCCTTAATATATTAAAAACGATATAGTTCATCTATGTACGGAGCACTGTCGACGTGACTGGACAAATTGTGCGCGGCGCAGACGCGGCTTGCCAACATTGTAACTGAAATTCAAATCTGTATAAAACAGTACTTTAAATTTTAGTTGAAAAAAAATGAAAGATGGAAGAACAGATAACTTTAATTCGGTTTGTGTTTAAAAATTGTAAAGTAAATGTCGGAACGCTGACACGTCTGCACCGCGGCTAGCATTACACAATAAATAAAACAAAGAATTAAATAAGAATATTAAAGATTTCGAATGGTGGTAGCGTTACATCTATATTTACATTTGAATCGACCTTAAAACTAATTAGAAGCATCAAATATGAAAACTTTATTAACATTGAAGGCACATGATTACGCACCCTATTCTCAATATTGTGCATTCGTCGGTGCGACTGCTGTGGACCGGACACAAGCTAGTTTACTTACATTACATCAAATAAGTACTATTCATGGACAAGACGCGCTGCGCCTGCTCACAGCGAAACCTCTACAGAGGGCCTACCACGTATATTTGTGAAAACGTTTTCGTGACGTCATGGACAAAATTTATGCAGCGCCCATATCGTACGGTGCTAAGTAAGCGAACAAATGTCATAAAAATTTTATCATTACGAAGGCGCTTGTCACAAATATTCGTGCTAGAGCCTCTGAATGTAATTAAACGAACGAATGAACGATTTCGCTGATGTCAAGCGCAGAACGAATTCAGACTAGTCACCGTTCAAGGTTGTCATTCGGTCTATTACATTACTGATTCTCGTCTCAATTAATTTTACTACAAATTCTGTTAAATTAAACGTTGCAAAACAGATATTAATTTAAAAAAATTTAGATCGTATTAAACACAACACGTAGTAGAAATAATAAAGGCGGTTATAGACAGATTTACTATACGAAGGAATTCCAACCTCACTGCTGACACTATAGACCTATTCACAGCATAGAGCGGATATTATATTTAGTGTCCACTTAAACACAATTCATTAGATTATATGTAACTTTATCGATAGTTATATTTGTTGAGATCCCATCATGCATTGGAAGGCTTATTCACATAATTTCGGATCATCAGACCGCGACTGATAGATACTGTAAATTATTTAAAAATAACGGAAAAAACGTTGTAAGAAACATATGTTCATTTTCAAATATTATTTTACGACATTTTTCGACTTATCATAAACGATAATGATTAAAAATGTGATAATATATGAAATTGACACGAAATTATTTAATTTAAAAGAACTACAAATGAAGTGAGTTCTAGAATTATATAATTAAAAAGATATGAACAGTTTTGCAAAAGTAAATTGTACTTAATATAATTTTAAACTCACTTCATGAGCGTTTTTAATTATTTCCTATAAATTGTATTAGGAATTAAAAGAACACAGTAATAAATAAGATTACAGTATCTATCACTCTGGGACGTTAATTTCATTAAAAAAATACTTCGACATCCAATTTCGCACTCAACGAATACAATAATTTGATTCGAACAAAAACATTTTGTTAACACCTAATTTAAAGATGAAATATACAAACTAAGCAGTCATTCATATAACACTAGGTATAAAAAAAATGCGTACGGTTTGAAAAAAAAATAGATATCGTACTGTAGTAAGCGTACTCAACTAGCTCCGAAATAAAAAAAAACGTAAAAAGGCTAAAACTGACGCCGAGGAACCGATTTTATATTACAACATTCGTCATTTATAACTATTATGATTAATTCTATCGTAATTATTTTTTTTAATAAATAATTTACAAAATGTCTATTGCCCTGTCTGTGGCTAAAATTAGTTATTAAACTCTTCGTTCGCTGCAAACATTAAATCAATAGATTTGAATATAGCTCAATTATCTGAGCGTGTCAATACTGAGTTAATATTATATTATTTTAAATATTAAAAAAAAAATATTATATTGTACATCGAACACTCGATTTGTCATTTAACAAATAAATATAACTACGGTATTCCGTAAAATAAATCTACAAATAATAATATAATCAAATGAAGAATTCTTCATTACAAAACTTTGCAATTTGTAAACATTTTTATAAACTGGCAAGACTTAAAACATAGAGTAAATAAATCATATAAACAATCCTTTTCTGTACGAAAATAAAATCACTGGAATTAGTAACATGCAAAATTTTATTAAGTTCTTCCTAAACTCGTTTCAACATCAACAAGGCGCAGTGTAGTGTAGCGGACAGACAGGGCGACGCACTGCATGCGAATACCGCACATAATTCACTGAATTTCTTCTCACACAGAAGTGATTTTTGCTTGCACAAAGAATGACACTCATGACACTCTTTCTATAAATTGTCTTATAAGCGTTATAACGCCAGCTTAAAGAAAATTCGCCCTACTTTATACATTTATATAGTTATCGGCAACAAGGACGTTTGTACAGTGACTGGGGCGGGGCTGGGGGCGTGGCTGTGGGCGGGGCGAGCTGTTGTGGGCGGGGTTCACTCGATGTTTTTGACGCGCGCCATCACCTTGCCCTCGTACATGGGCAGCGTGTCGGCGTCGTTGCTCACCTCCTCCTGGATCACCGTGTTATCCAGATCCGCGCACTCCGTTTTGAAGAAATATCTATAAAAAATATATTTTCATATTTTGATAACACAAACATAATTTAATTAAAATTATATATTTATTTTTGTTTGACCCTTGTAGAAGTAAAAAAAAAGTTTTAAAGTAAAAAGTAGAAAAGCTTAAATAAATAAAAACTTATAAGGTCGTAGTACCTGTAGTTTCCTTTCCTTGGCAGATAATCCTTGAAGGTCTTGAGTGTGAGCGGCACGGAGGGCACCTTGAAGCGGTACGGCACCGCCTCGTCCAGGAAGCTCACCACCACCACCGTGTGCTCCGCCGCCCCCGCCGCGCAACCCGCGACGCCCTTGCCACCGCCCCCGCCCCCACCACTGCAGAAAGATAATACTAATTAAATCTTTCCTTTAATCAACTATTTTGTCTGTGTATTAATATTAATACTTTAATGAGGAAAGATTTGTTTGTTTGCTTTAAGTAGGCCCCAAAACTCCTGGAGCGGTTTGAAAAATTCCTTTACTGTTGGGAAGCTACACTATCCCCGGATGACATAGACTATATATTTTTTTTAGGCTATGCACGAAAAATTTTTTTTTCTAATTGGGCGAAGTCATGTGTTTAAGAATTGATAGCAAATGCAGATACCAATATTTGGCGGTCACTTAACATTGAGATAGCAGCACTTTAGCGTTGTTTAGATGCGTGCTAAGTACAGTGGGTAGGTACCGTGGGCGTGGTGGCTGGCGGTCGCGGCGGCGCGGCTCGTCCCGCTCTGCGCTGGAGGCACGCGAGAGGTCTCGCTGGCGACGCTCGAGGCGCTCCAGCCGCTCCGAGCCCTCCGCTATCCACAGCAGGATGCGAGGCTCCACCCCACTCGCCCCGCTCGCCCCGCCCTCGCTCACCACAGACACCCCGCTGTCCGTCAGCTCCGTCGCCGTTTTCTTTGACAACGATCTGAAAAAAACGACTAGATCATTAAGTACACAATAGATTTTAATAAAATAAAAGTAAACTAATCATAAAAACAAAAACTTGAATTGCCATATTTTAGTATGTGTTTTAATTTCTTCCAATTCAGTGTATTCCAATATCATATGTAAATTTTTTAAACATGTCAAAAATTCAACAGCTCACACCAAACTAAAGCAAATAAATAAAAAAAAACCGCTGAAAAGGTAAATTTGAATTGATTCTTCGTTCTCTCAAATTACTTTTTTTTAATGTACCGCAACAACGATGAACTTCCATAAAGACAAGCCGGACACACAACTACGACAACGAACATGCGCCAAGCTTACAACTAAATTAAAAACGAAATAAAAAGTAAAACGCATCGCTCTAAGATAACTCCTCAACGTCACTAAGCTCCAAATCAGATTTCAATTGAACAGCAAAGAAACCAACTGCACGGCGTTACATTCTGCCAAGTATGAATCACCTATGTGTCACGTTGAAGGGGCGGCTTAGAGCTGCGTTATACCGCGGCTTATACGCGCTTACAGCGGCGCAAGCACGCGCTAATACAGTGCGCTGGAAAAGAGTACACGTCTTTACACTTCGCATGCTTTATTATTACAAAAACTTGTGTTATTCAAATTAAAATGCTATTAATCGCAAATATAATTCGGCGAAGACGTACAAAATAAACTGTTTACAACTTAATATTACTATTTCGCACTTTATATAATATTCACAAAACAAACACATGTTAGTTTTCGGCTTTTTAGACCGATCCATAAAAACACCCATACAAACTATTAGTAATTTTAGTTAAAATGTAAAAAAAAATGCTTGTTCAACTAAATATATAGTAAAAATGCAAACCTGCGTGTCAGTGAGTGTGGATGATGCATTCCCTCGGGCGCGTCGTAGTGTCCCGAGTCAGCGGAGAGTGCGGAGGGTGCGCGCCGCGCTGAGTGGGCGGGGTGCGTGCTGTGCGTGCCGTGCGTGCCGTGCGGGGCGTGTCGGCCGCGCGCGCGCCGCCCACCCGGCGGTGACGCGCCCGGAGTACGCTCCGACCACACACGAGACACGTGCTGATCTGAAAAGTCACATTACATTTAATAAAAAAAAAACAGATTTACTAGCTGTCGCCCTCAACTCCGTCCGTGCAGGATTAGATAGTAGCCGATTCTCAAACCTACTAAACATGCATATAAAATTTCATAAGAATCGGTCAAGACGTTTCGGATGAGTATGGTAACTATCATTGACACGAGAATGTTATACATAAAGATGAGGTATATTTGTGTGACTGACCGAGAATGTCTTGGTCGTTGTCGTCGTCGACCTGCAGCTTCTCACGGATGGCAGCGGCAACCAGCTGCGGTGGCAGCGCCTGCGTTGACAGCTCTTCGCCCTCACCCTGTAAACATATGATTATTTCTTTTGCTGTCGTACTTAATATCGTAAAGTAGGCACTAAGAAGAACTTTCAATGGTAGATTTCTTATTAGAGAGACCGCTTAATGATTTGGGGTATGCTGTATGCTAGAGTAAGTATACGTCACTCAAACATTCAGATTTGTTACTTACGAAAAGTACCCTTTAGTACAAATTGGATATGATAAGTATTGATTTATTCATAAAAAATCTGCAGAAAGAAATTTCTTTAACCACTATATATACGGCAGTGGGTGTAGCAGTTGTTGTGGGCGGGTTAGTACCTCAGCGAGCCTCCTCTCGAGGCGGTCCTTGGCGTCGATGTCGCGGCGTACACGCTCCAGCTTCTCTGTGAGGAGCGCGGCGAACTCCTGAGGCGGCAGCGCGCGCAGCTGCTCGCACTGCACGCGCTGTGTGCGCGGTATCACCTGCACAACACGTAACACTTATAACAACACATTTACTAAGCTTACACGTAAATTCAAGTAAGTGTCATTCACAACAACAAATGGCCTTCAGGTTCAGTTTTCATACTTTTAAATGATCGTCAGACTCTTTAATTTTGTAAGTAATCTTAAAGCGAGATTGTGTTTTCTGTAGTTATATGTGTGCACATGTTGTGTTTGTACGTGCTGCTCACCATGGCGGTGTCCTGCTCCTTGTTGATGAGAGCATGTCTGTCGAGGCCGTGCAGCCGCGGTCGGTGTCGCGACTCCCGCGGCTCGCGACCGCGCACCGCCATGCCGTCACTGCAATAAAACACTATCATATGAACACAAAAAACGATATCATGAATTCTTTGGACGTTGTCATACAAACTTGATGTAATAGAATCGCTAGATGGCGCTGTCTGTAAATCAGACACGCTGTACCAGTTACTTATGAGTATCGTATGATTATGATTTGCATTGTGATATTAGTGTTTGCTTCAAAGCTGTGTGTGTGAAAGGGGAACTAAATGCAACTTAGTAGGTAAAAAAAAAAAAATCTAGTTAAGCTCACGTCTATTTACTTACTTATATACTTACCAACTTCGTAGCTAATAATAAGAAAAAACACACTTACCTTGCTATTTAAGAAATACTTGTGTCATAACTGAGCCCTATATAAAAATCTTCGAATGTCAGATATTTAGTGACTGCAATAGAGAGGTGTTGAGAGCGAGATGGAGGTATACTCACACGCTGCTGCCGGAGAGGGACACAGCATCGCTGTCAGTGCGGCCGCTGCTCAGACTGGCGCGCTCCGAATCCTGGCGCGAGGCGGGACAGTAGCCGGCGTACGACACGTGCGCGCTGTACACCGACCGCTTGCGGTGCCTGCTCTTACCACCGGGACGGGGACGAAGGGCAATGGATGTGGTGCAACACGTGATACATCGTAATACGCGCGTCGTATAGGAGTTTAAGACAGGAAAGCAATGGATGTGGTGTATACACGCAATGTATACGTTATTGTAAAATTTGATGTATCGTAAAGTATCGAAGGATATTTGTAAGGGATAAAGTCAGGTGGTAAAAACAGTGTAGCGTGGATACAATCGTAGTCAGCGAACATGCAGGCAGGGAACAAACATGGGGGCAAAACAATACAATGGACACATCAGTTAAGCTGCTAGGGGATAAAATTATTAAAAATTAAAATTAAATGAAAGGCGTTACACGCTGGGACGTGCATGCATTGCGGGGTCACTCGTTAAATAAAACGTGTATTAGACTAGCAGTGAAACTAAAAAAAAACTATGAATAATGAACACATTGAAACAAAAATGACAACTACACTTACATATCTACTTCGTCTAACAAACTATGTATAATTAATATTACAAAGCAAATAATTATAACATCAAAGAAGTATTTTTTACTGTACATGTATTGTCTTGTGTAATTTACTGTGAAGATGAACAGTGTAATCAGTGTCGTGTAATAACACGTGCATGTTGGTGTGTGTACAGTGTACAGATGTGTACTCACGGCGCGGTGTCGGAGTGCAGCCGGCGCGTCTGCGTGGCGAGCAGGGCGTCGTGCGTGAGTCGCGCGGGCGCACCACCAACACTCGCACCGCCACCCGCGCTCAACTCCTGCCCCTCGTGTAGCGTCGCCAGTCCACACCCCAGAGACTGACAAACACAATACACGTTAAACATAACTATTAAAACTGTAAATAATTTAGATCCAAACGTATAATTATGTTAAGGCATGTCTGAAGCGCATAGAGGCCATATGTTAGTCCTACGTCCTTTTTCCTAATATGGAAAATATATCCTATTTCGGTTTATTCTCTCCTTTACCCATTAAAAGCAAGGAGAGATAACCTGGACACTTAATATAAATATGTAAAGGTCTACGAACAGTAGTCTATTCGCTATTTTACCATTTGCCTCATTAAATATAACCAACATAAAGGCTTATACTTGAACACCGTGATAACATTTGTAAAGATGACATGTGTAATGTGATCATGTGTGTATTGTGTACAAAGGGACAAAGAGGTAAGAAGGGAACTCACAGCGAGGTCTCTGTGCGGTGGCTCTGTATCAGGCGAGGAGAGCGGCTGCGTGGCTGCGCTCACATAAGACACGTACGCCTCCGAGCGTAGAAACGCTTGATACGTCGTCTCCGTTATCGCCAGCGTCACCTAAAACATTAAACGTATATATTTCTGCGTGTAGTTAAAAGTGTTGTATACAAAATCATAACAATGTAACTTGTGGCGCTTTACCTCTTGCTCCATGTTATCGAAGATTGTCTTTTCGATGTTGGAGCCATCCTTGAGGCTTTGCTTTACGCGCTGCTTCAGCTCCTCGGGCATCGCTAGCTGCGACTTGCGGAGGAATCTACAATAAACGAATATTTTACACTTAGTTTGCCCGCGTCTTCGTTTGCGCAGTGTTTGACTGACCCTCATATTTTATGATAGATTATATTGTAATAAAGATAACAAATATAAAGATTGATTTACATTGGAAATAAAGTGCGCATGGAGTCATAGACAGTTTGACAAACAGACAAAAAAATTAACAACCGTTTTGAGCTTTGTTGAAAAAGATATATTTATTAGTTATAGTATATAATAGATACTAACTTGTATATAGCGGAGACGACCTGTCGTATCTTGGGGGGCTCGGTCTCCTGGCGCAGGCCTTGCACGGCGAAGTAAAAGTTGAGGCGGTCCACGTGCAGCCCGCCCGCGCCTGACACGAACTTGCGGAACAGACGCACGCCCTCCGCATCCTAGTACATACACGATACCATTGTTTAGTATACGTTTCCACTAACGAAACACTGGTCATCCCAACTGTTCGCTTGGACTTAAGACTCAAGTGTAGTGTATGAGAGTGAGAAGGGCAAGGTGTGTGTGTGTGTGTGTGTGTAGAGGGAAGGTGGAGGGGTTACCTCGAGTAGGTCGTGTAGTGTCCGCGCCCAGCGCATGTAGGGCGGCGAGGTGGGCGAGCGCGGCGAGCTGCCCGACGAGCCCTCCGTCTCCTCGCGCCACGCCGCCGCTCCCATCCTGACATACAAATACCTACATTATTACCAAATACTTAAAGTGTATATGTACCCTAATTAGTGGATATCCATGGCCTGTATAAATATATATTTACAAACACACTAGTAAATAGAGATGACAATTTTTTTAACAGATATCAAGCTGTAAAAATTTAACCTAGGAACATGTAGAGTATTGAAAAGGAATCCATTATTTTAAACATAATTCTATTTAGACTTCTAAATTTCATTAAATATCTTTAATAAATAAATTTAAATAGTTTCATAGTAACAGTAGTATATGCGCATAAAAACCTATAAAATTAATAAAAAAAATGTGCTAGTGACTCACTTAGAGAGGTGTGGGTGTGTGAAGACATGTTTGGATTGAGATTTGCTCCTCTCCTCCCCAGAAGCCGGCGGCAGCGACGACCTGTCTGCAAGCTTGTGCTCCCAACCTATATGTTAACAATACAAAAACTTTTAACTATTACAATTGTACAAATAAAGAAACCACTACTTACAAAATTATGAAATAAATTGTTAGGATCAGGAAGGGTTTAATTTTTCAACTTATATGTCCATAAAAATGTATTCTAAACGGCTTGGTTTATCTCAAATAATCATAACTAGCAGCTTTTAAGCCAGAAACACCACCATTAAAATCTATCAGTTTTTTTCAAGGACAAGGGAATCTAATCTTGTGGAATAGATTTTTTATAACTTGTTTGATTTACCTTGCGGGTGGCCGCCTATAGGAGTGTGGCTCATGGCGCACAGGCCCTGCTCCCACCCGCGCGCTGCATGGCGAGACACCAACTGACAAACAAACAATAAATCTATATATTTATCAAACCATAATACAATAATATAATCTACATATATCTACTACTATAGTTCACATCAAAATTATCACTTAAACATTAGAAAATCAAGTTATAGTCATGTAGTTTAAGTAAGTTTCTACAAGTAGCAGAAAGAATAAACAATGTTCAGAAAAAAAAACTCCTATCACACTAATAAGACATAACTAAGGGATGTCAATCAAAAAAAATTACTAAAATTGCGTATTTTGTAAGAAAAACTATTAAAACCATTTACACAACACTTAAACTGTCTCCTTTTCTTCCATACCATTCTTATTATATCCATTTTAGTCAGTTTTTCTTTCAATATTACCGAACAATAATTACACATTTCACCCGACTCACAGAATGAGCGTACCAAGCATTATAAAAAAATCAATAATCCAAACGCAGAGGGCAAAATACAACAAGCCTTTCATACAATTTGCACAAGTTGGAGAGAGACAGCAAATAAAAATGAGGCAGCGGTCCAAAGTCAAGAGTCTCCGTCATCGATCGGAGCACAGAGCCAAACATCAGCTTTGCAACGGCTGTTAAAATCTTTTCACAATGCGTATCACTATACTAAATTCACTCATATTAAAGCATATCAAATTACAAAATAGTTTAAGTTTATTATAAAAAGTTTAAAAGTAAACTCCGATCAAAAATTAAAAATTTCCTTTCACTAAATATCTTTATAATATTACAAAAAAAAAGGTACAGCATAGTAAGAGCATGTCATAACAAATTAAATCATAACTTCATGGTTCAATAAACCATTTATGAAAAAGGGCAAAAAAATTATAAAGGCCTTACCATATTCATTGTATTTAAACAAACAATGAGTAGAAGGAACTTTATAGTAAAAAAACAGTCTATGGTATAACAACACTGGATATTAATATTTTTTTTATGGAAGCTAAGTTGAGAAAGCACGACTGCGCAGTGCTCCGTCAGTGATCCGAGTGAAGGATTCAGGGCTGGAGGCTGAATGTGTAATACAATGGGCTCCGATCGAACATTGCTCCGGCCCTCGCACATTGTGTAGTGCCAGTGTTTATGATAGGGTTTATTATAACTACAAATCAATACTAACCATATCTTATACACATTGTGAGAACTAATAATATAGTTTGTGTAAATAGAAAGTTTTTAAATGTGTTTTATATTACAAAATACATAGTGTTTACTTTAACTGTAGTTTTAACATTTATTATTTGTAAAATAAATTACTATCTAAGTAAACTTTTCCCACATAACCTATTCAATATTTGCTCATTCTATTGAGTGTATAATCTAAACGAGATCGAATGACCAAAAATATTTGTGGGCTATAAAAATAAAGACGGGAAACAAGTTGTAAACAAAGAACTATAGTCGTGAAAGTTGCCGCCGAATACGATTCGATAAAGAAAAGTAAGCTAGAGCAGTATCATGCGACGCCTCTCAAAATTTCGTAAGTGCCCAGCATCCCGAATAATACCCCGCGGTTGTAAACACAGATATCTTACATGGAAACCCGGAAGGATCTTATGGATATATATTTATGGAACATTAATGAGTGAAAGACTACATAGAATTTGATACACTTACTCACTGCAGCAGAACGGCACTTTCTTTAGCAAATGAGGCGAGGACATAAAAACGAAAAGTTTCTTGGAAATAAATAATAAATTAGCTTGGCTCGATTTGGTTTTGTATACAACAGCGACACGAGTTTGACACTTGTCATTTTTGATGGATGAATGCATGACAGCGGAATTACTACGTAAACTAGCGCCATCTAGTCCTGCGTCGAGCAACAAGGAAATGGCGGGTAATTTGCATATTGTTAGAATGTGTCACTAGATGTCAGTAGACGAAACATAAGAAAACTAGATTCTTGGCGGGAAATACAATTTCGTTGGACAAGTTTTTTACGCTATTTTTAATTAAAAAATAAACCAAAATACATTTAAATCTGAAAGTTTAAAAATTTATTCAAATATTTTTCTAATTCCCGTACCTGTGTGGCAGCTTACTGCCGCTGCATTTTCGTTTGTCGGATCCGTTTGTTTGTTGAAAATGTATCTGGAACAACGTGGAGCATGTTAAAACTTTTTCAATGAAGACTTTTTGAAGCTACTAGTAAGTTATGCATAATTTTGTCTCACTTTTAATTATATTTTAACAAATCTCTCGCAATGTTACCAAGTAAAAGTTCAGTTGAGAATTAAATTAAGGAATATTGTACGAGATATATAAGACATTCAATTGTAACAGCAAATTAAATCGAATCTCTTTCGATTAACAAATGGATGGAATGTATTATAATTATCAAAGAGATTTAGCAGTTCGCGACAATGGTGGCGGCTATGTTTGTTTCGGCGTAGATCAGACGACGGCGGAGGTAAGCAATAACGTTAATTCGATCAAAACAATTATAATAGAAATGTTATTTGTTAGGAATTTGATTCCCCTGTTATAGATAATAAAAATATCATATCACAATAAAACACGTTTTATTAGTTTAGATATTAGATATTAATTCTATTCGTAAATTTTATGACAAAGGCCGTATTTGACAGTTTTATTTCACAGCGTTTTGTTGCTTTTCGCAACATATTAAAATAAGTTGCACAAAAATATATTGTCATGAATTTAGTTCTCTTTCCACGTTTTTATAGAAATTTAGATAGTGGAAATCTACAGTTAGTTTATCTAAAATAACAATAGGACCAACTTAATAACGCTTAATCAAACCGTAAATCTTGTAATTTCTAATACCACAAAGTATAATAAATTTCCAAACAAACATTTTAGGTTTTATAACATTTTATAACGGTTGGAATCATAAAATTAACAATTTGACGTGTGACCATCGTACGGAGCGGGGACCGTTGCGTTCTTTAACAAAATTATCACGTCATGCTCAGGAGCTGATTAGCATCACACCACGAATAACACTTAGCTCACCATAAACCGCCATAGACGGCAGTAACCATAGACCGCTTTAGCTGGACCTAGAGTGAGCCAGCATGGATAAAATATTTCCGATATGTTTTATGAAATTAAGCATAACGGTGCAAAATATGAAGTTGACGCTCTCTTGTTTCGTATGCTAAGACTCATTTTTGTTACCAATTTTAGCTTTACGATATAATGACGTACCTACAACTTCCTCCGAGAACAAAGGTAAAATAGACATATTTAAGGTTTTCCGTTTGTTCCGTTAAGTGAGATGCTGCTGGCCTTTCCCATAGTCTTCTAAATCTTCTTCACGTTTTTCTAATCCACGCGTTTTTTTTTTGTTAAAGTTGCGTGCGACTTTCGTAACATTTTTAAATCAGTTGCGGTCATCGTTGGCTGCGTTTTTACCACATTTTACAGACACTGTATTTTAAACTTTTAAAAAAAATAAAAAAGTTGTCAACATTTGAGCAGTAGCAAAGGCGACATGGGTCGATAGATCGGGCCGCGTCGCCCGCTATCATTAGCCGAGAGCACGCACTAAGCGACTCTTTGATGTGCGCAAACTTTCCCGTTTTCCTTTGATTGCTATAATGGAACTGTGCTGTTATTACACTAATTGAATTTTCGCAAAGCCGGCGCGTCACCGGTTTATTCGGACCGGCGTAATACCTGTCGGGTACCAGGGCACCTCGAATCATCATCGTATGACAAATAAAAATGATAAACGACAATTTTATCTATCTTAAACCATTTTTTTACATGTTCATAGTAAAGAATTCATATTAATCGATTTAGTATCTATGTTGCTAAATCATAAAATTAATAAAGGAACATGATTATGCTCGAATATCTTCAAAGAAAAAAATAATTGTAAGGAAAAAATAACCAAAAACCTTTTTAAACGGCGGAAGATAGTAGCTTCATTTTACAAAGAGATTAAGTTATGGGTGAGGCGAAATATAGTTAATATGTCACCTCTCTATGTCATCAGACTCGAGTATAACATATTGAATATATTGGCCAAAGGAGGCGTCACTTTGTGCTTATAATGAAACTACGGCAAAGCCTGCCTACAATCATTTTCTTTTAAATTTTAATAACATTATAGTCGTAAAGAGAAGAAATGGATGGACTGTGCGAAAGGTGACGATAGACGACGAATGACACATCTATGTGGAAGACGAAATTTTGGTGACTCACATAGAGTGGGATAATGGCAGAAAAAATGAACAGTAATTTGTAAATAAGAAAGGACATAGTATAAATGTAACATTAACACAAACTCGTCAGTTGCGAGGTGTTGGAGTGAGAGGAGAGACGTGTGCACGTTATTGGATCTAACTTCCTTTGTCTCTGCTTCGTGATTTAATTAACTATTACAAAGCTTTGTGTCTCACCTTTACTTTGTAAGCACCAAGCTACGACAATCAATATAAAATACTCCTTAATATAAAAACATTTATTAAAAATGTATGACATGAATGAATTTGACCCGTCAATATTTTAAGGATTGTGGCACAAAATATTTATAATGCGATCTTATTTTGGTAAATTTTACCAAAAGCTGTCAACTCACAAACATTAAACACTAGAATGGGCAAGGTGCAAAATCTTGCCTTTGTCATCTCGTAGTTGAGGTAAAATCAAACGGCCGATGCTTTAGACGAAGATCAAAACGATAAGGGTTGTTCACTTTCAGAGAGATTCGTCGTCAAAAGGACGCGGCCACTTTGATCGGACCGATTCCTTGAAAATACCTACGCAACGTACTAATCAATCGTACGAGGGTATATCGGAAAAGACATTAAAGGCAATAGTTTCAGCTTGCGGTGAACTGTTTGCGAGAGCCGAGAGCGGGGTGGGTCTGGGCGAGCGCGGGGGAGGCTCCGAGGGCGCGCGGGAGGGACACGTTCTCGGCGCACATCAAAGGCGAGCCGAGACAAAGCCAGAGGAGCCTTTTAACTTTATTTAGCGGAGTGGTAAGTTTAGCCGGTCGCGAATCGCGCAGGTTAAAGAGTAACACACTCACTTTGAGCTAGGGCTGCGGGGGGCAGGGCTGCCGATAAACAATTTGTATCTCAACTTAATATCTTCTCGATTAACATAAAAAAAAGAAATCTATACTGAAAACAAAGGGATTAAAATTGAGGTTTTGATGTGCCCACAAGATGATTATAACGCAGGAAGATTCCTCACCAGGTAAGTCAATTAAATGAAATATTCACATTGCATATGCAAAATTTAAAGTTTACTATGAGGAATATAAAAACAGCGCTTACAGCGCAGCCTGAAAAGCCTTATGTGTATTTTTTCACATTTCCACTTAAAATGAGTGAGCGAGTGGCAGAGGCAGCCCTAGGGAGGGGTGGAGGCATCAAAGCGGGCCGCTAATGCCGGCCGCGGCGGCGCTTTGTCGGCGTCCTTTGAGGCGCGGACACCGCCTGCGCTTTGGACAATAAACCATCGCGATTGTCGCACCACCTCGCCCGCCCGCCCTCCGGCGCCGGCTAGGGTTGTCTACGGATTATTCTGATGCTAAAATTAAATCTGCAAAATATCCTGAGTCGCATCTGTATTAAATCTGTAATTTTAAATTTTTCTTATTACGCATACAAGAAATGTTTCTCTTTCAAGAGCAAAGATTTATTTGTACATTCTTCTACACATTCTTTATGTTCTTTTCGTTTTTGTAATTCATATCCACTTTACCCTTTATTCAGTTAATTAAGTTAACTAACTTTATTAGTACATTTATGTTTTGGACAGCTTGACCAAAGACTATTAAACATATAGACAACGAAGCAATTTATATTACAATTACATAAATTATTTCGGCCGACAAGACCGTTGCCTTGCACACAGCTAATCGATGAATCCGCGGCAATAAGGGAGGGGGTTGAAATGCAAATTATTGCAAAAATTCTAGCAATATCCGTTTGTTCATTTCGTAATTGAGTTCCCGTTCGCTTTGACGCGCGCCGCGCTTTTAGACCATCCCTGTCTCTGTTGTCAAAACGATTTTTTATGGTTCCATATGAAATGGCTTCTCTTTAATTTCATACCCTTTGCTGTTCATGGCGGTTGTGTTCCCGCATTCACGTGCAAAACTTGTAGTTATTTGATTTCGCTAACAATACATGTTGCAATATCTTTTCAGAGAAAGAAACTGTCACACTCTAGAGTCGCTTAATCATGACTAACAGTCCCTAAGTGATGATTCATATGAAAAATGAACACTAAAGAATTCAAGACATTGAGGGTTGCAGTAAGACCATTTCACTTTCGCCCATATCAACAAAAGAACAATCGTTTTACATTAATGTGATTGCAAATATTAAAATAATTTTATATTTATTTAAAAATAAAAATGATATCAGACATTGAATGAACGGGTAGAGATCAAACTCGGTCCGATGAAATCAATAAGTACTTACCCTGATTACTCTCATTTTGTATCGGCGACGCGACCGCGACGCGGCATGCCGACGGCGTGCCGTCGTGTCACACGATGTATACACTTGTCGATATTGAAATTGAAACATCAAGAGACTAGCGATGAACTTTCACTGGAAACCTTTCATTGCGAAACCTTTCAACGTCAAATAGTTGTTAACTTTGTCGATAAACGGTAACATGTTTCAGTTCGAACCTATCACGTCCGCGACTAAAGGGGATAAGTATGTGTATGAACAAATTGCATAGTAAATATGTGGCATTTCGATAAATATAATCGATAAAATCTGCAATAGGTATGCTGATGTCTACTATATTTGTATCGCTACAAATTCTTGTCAACACATAAGTACAAAGTATCGGAAGAAATCGAAATACTTGGAACATAGTATTTTATCAACAGTTTTAACAGCATTCTGAGATGTCTTCTGAATAAGTAATATAAAACCTCTTTATATAAAAGTACTGCATTCGTCAAAAACTAATTACATAACTCATTTGAAAGCCACTAGACTCGAACATGTAAACACGAATCGTATGGAATGTTGCAAATTACCTTAGAGACTTATAGTTGTTAAATCTCGTCATTAAATTTAAAGCGTCCCCTCCCCCCACCTCCTGCCCCCCCTTACCCCGTAGCCCGCGCTGATTACCATAAGCTGGCA